ACACTACTTGCTTACTTATTTGCAAGGCACAGCACTTGAAGTGCTTGTTGCCAAATTAAGTATGAAACAATTAACTCTTTAAACTTAATGATAAAGAATTGCATTGTGAAAAGTTATAGATTCAAATGTAAAAGTCATATAAAACATAAAAGAGCTTCCATAAGATGTTCCAGCTTTTTTACTGTTTTTTTATTGTTTTTGTGCAGACAATACATTTAAAGTTTGAAGAAATAATGAACTTATTTAACATTATTTGAAAATGAAAACAAAATCAAAAACATGTGTTATTTTTATATCATTATACAACAAAGTACACTAGATTATATAAAACATACAACTTTACCAGCACACAATGTGAACATCCCATTAAAATAGTATTGTGTAGCCAAAAATATAATTGTTGTATTTATAAATGCAAGAATTTTTTTTTGCAATTTTCGCTCAATAAATTTGCAAGTATTAATATTATATTAAGCTTTAAATAAGAAAAATAGAGTCTTACAGTATAATACTTTTTATTTGTGTCTTTAAAACAGATTATGGGCGCAGCGAGGGTAAACACAGGTGTAGAGGCGCACCTGAGACGCTAATTGGTTTTTTTAAAGTTTCAGACATTTTAGGCATTTTTCAAACACAAAATTTAAGTATGCTCATCGTAAGTCAAAATAGAATGTTTTGTAAAAAATTACAGTGATTGAAGCTTAGGTACAAAATTATCCCCAAAAGTGTCTCTCCCCCTTCCAATATGTGAGGGCAATTATTTGAAGATTATTTTTTTACTAAACGTAAAAATCATATATAAAAACATATAAATTAATAAAATTAACTAAATTACAAATGAATAAAGTTCATCAACAGTTTTTAAATTTCATCGAATATTTTTTTTGAAAGTTATGACTTGCATTCCTCTAAACTAGCGTACATAGTAACAAAAGTTCAAGTAACAAAAGTTCAAGTAACAAAAGTTCAAGTAACAAAAGTTCAAGTAACAAAAGTTCAAGTAACAAAAGTTCAAGTAACAAAATATCGCAAAAAAGAACAAGAGCTTTTCCCCAATCATTTCACGATAAAATTAAGTAATCTGCTACCTCTTTGGGTAAAACAAATTTTTTTTGTTTACAGATCTTGTCAGCAGGTAGTGTTAGTTGCAATACTGTAATCAACTAACATTTTTGTGCAAAAGTTTTTAATATAGTATTTAAAGCAGGAACGATAAGGTAAAAACGGTTTAAGCATGTGGAATTATGTGTAAAGGTGAGTTTCCACTCATCCGTTTTTTCACGGGAACGGGATAGGAAAGGGAAAAATAATCACGTGAGCATGCGTAGTTTTCCTTCAGACATATTAAAACTTATACTACGCATGCCCACGTGATTATTTTTCCCGTCGCTTTCCCGTTCCCGTGAAAAAAACGGATAAATGGAAACTCACCTTAAGGTTGGTTACGCTTCAAAAAAAAAAAAGCTAAAGCCAATCAACTCTGCCCTATGATGAAAGATCAACCAGTCAACGCGGAGGCTAAACAGTTTTAAAGTTCTCATTTGGTGGGTTTGGCATAATACAGCTATGGACTAAATCGTATGTTTAAATCTAAAATATTTTGTACTCTGTATCTTAAAAATCTTTAAGGCCGTTTTCCACAAGACGAAATATTCGCGTGAAGCGAACTTTTTGCCATGACGAAACGCTGTTTTGATTTCCACTTACTTTCTTTCGCGCTACTTTTTTTTTTTTCGTTGTCAACAATAAAAATGGCAGCAATAAGTTTACGTTGTATGTTTAACTAAAAGCAGTTATGACTTTTTTAGCATACTTTCTACTTTGAAGCATGTGAAACTTCTTTCCGTGCATTAATATTAACATTTCTGTCTTTATATGGAAGATGTGATACCATTTTGTAATATAATCATTTAATATAAGGTTTTTTTTACAAGAAAGTATAAGAAAATAAATGCTAAACTTAGATATGAATATTTCTATTAACAAACTGTTACTGCAAGAACGAACAGCAGATTTAACTCTATGCAGGGTTTTTCACAAAAAGGTTTATCTTCGTGTGGCCACTTGAGGATAAAAATTCTTATGAAGTGTAACTTTCGTAATTGACAGTGTGAAAATTTATATTTGTAAATTCTCGATTTAGTTTTATATATAAGTCTTGTCATTTTTTTATATAAGTTTTGCTACTTATTTGATGAATTTACTCATGTTTGCCAATTTTCAGAGTAAGTTCATATAAAATTATTAAGAATGCCAGATTAAGAATTTTGTTTTTTGTTAATTTAAAAACAACATGCTTTCGCTTTATTTTACTGTTGATATCACGTGATATAATATTCAAAATTGAATTGATTGGTTTTTGCTTGTGGCAATTCGAAAAAAGTTGAAATGAATCCGACTATTTTTTTCGTCGCAGAGAAACACTGTACAGCATAATTGCCAAAAATGTTTAATCTGCGCATGCTAATCGACGAAAAAATTCGCGAATTTTTAGTCTTGTGGAAAACGGCCTTTACTTTGACATGCGAGTTATTTTAAAATGCAGCTCGTGTGGTTTTAAGAAATACAGGCCAGAGACTTTATGAGGCCAGCTGCAAAAGTCCGCGCCAATTCGGATTATCTGCAATTTCTGCTGATAACAAAATTGGTTCAACTAATGTCTCTGCAAAAACAAAATTGGTGTGTTTGGCTAATAAATTTTAGATCATATGCTTTTAAAAATTTCAAGTTTTTTACAAAGTTTATTTAGTACTTTTTACAAACAGCCGTTATATTGTGCGGCCATGGCGCAGTTTTGACATATTTCGCGTCATGGTAAGGAAGGAGGCATTAACTTTCTGGTTAAATACACTTCCGCGGTGCTCTTAAACAAGACCGTTAGGACTTCTTGGAGCACCTAAATAACAAATAAAAAAAAAAAAGTCTTCATAAATGCTTGATAAAATGTTTTGGTTAAATAATTTTGATTACGTTGACTGGGGTTATCAATACAGTGAATAAGGTTATAAATTGGCGAATAGAGTTATAAGTAACTTTAGTTGCTATGAAGTTACACAAAATCGAGTTAATAAATCGCAAGGTTAGAATTATTTTGTTCTATCTCCACTTTTTGAAAAAAATGAGTTATTAATTGTGTAATGTACCTCAAAATAATATTTTTCTATTATATTAAAACCTAAGTTAAAATCAAAAAAAGTTTCGGAGAAAACATAAGTAATAAAAATCTTTTTATATGCCGTCTCCTAAAGTTTTTATTTTTTAAATCGTTTTATCTCGAAACAAAATGTGGAGATAGAACAAAATAATTCTAACCTCGCGAAATAGCAAATTGTGTAACTTATAGACTTTTCTTTTTTGCGAAATACCAACCTCTTTATTTATTATAATTATTTTTGTATGTTAGTTAATTTTAAGTCTCTAACAACTTGTTGTTTTGACTGACAGAGTTAATTCTAACAACTTGTTGTTTTGACTGACAGAGTAAAGTCTCTAACAACTTGTTGTTTTGACTGAGAGAGTTAAGCCTCTAAAAACTTGTTGTTTTGACTAACAGTTCTTGGTTCAAACATAAACGCTTTTTTTGATACGCGTACTTTTTTTTAGATGAAGCTGTAAAGATATGCGTCAAACAACTTTTTTGTCAACAATATTTTTAATTTCTTTAAGCTATTTGTTTAACAACTGGTATAAAAATAAAATAGCATGTTCTCAATTTGCATATGGATCTGAATACCGAATTGTTACTAATTTTACAGTATACGCAGTATAATGAAACATCACATTTTTATAGACAATATAATTTACTTTACGTTCTCATTTAAAATATATTCAAAATTCAGCTAATATTAAACTCTCTCAACACCCAACATGCTCATCATTAAGCTCTTGAGCTAGGTGAAGAGCATGTATCATTTGTTTTTTTTTGTTTGTCATTTACTGGATGTTTTTTTTATTAGGCTTTCTTTTCCCTTTTTGCAAATTATACATTCTCCGTTGAGAGTATTTTGAGTAGTTAACTTAACATGAATTTGCTCAAATAACTCAGACAATAATACATTTTTGTCAATTTGATCAAATTTTTGGAGCAACTTTCTGCAGTTTATCACGAACTCCACTTGTAATTTTTTCATCATTAAAATCCAATCTATTTTTAATAAGTTTGTTCTTTCAATTACAAATGTTCTAAGTTCTCGTTTACACTTTTGCAAATGAAGAAAACATACAGTTTTGAGACAACCCTCGTAATTTTTTAGTAAGACATTTTAAATTGTGATTAATCAAAATTTTTTATCGAACATAGTCCAATTCTTAAGTTAAAAGAAATATTGCCTAATTTATGACTGTTTATGAATTACCTCTTTTTAATATCTTGTTACTTCTATTTATTTATCAACCCTAAATAACTACTTCTGTTTGATACCTAACTAAATTGATACACTGATACCTAAATAACTACTTCTTAAATAGAAACAATCTACAAACCAAGGCATTTGTTTTGTAAAGTTTATTTTAGTACTTTCCTTTTTGGTAAAACTTATTAGAAAAATATAGAAAAACTAAAAAGAAAAAAAATTTTCATTTGGAACTTGTCATTTTAAGGTGTGTTTTAAAAAACTGAATATCTTCCTCGAACGAAATTTAAAGATTTTTATGTTTTGCTACTAAATATATATAATCATTCTTCCAAAGGGTTTCCTTAAGAACCGTCGTAAGCATTAAACCTGATTTTTATAGACCGTGAGAAAGAAATCATTTGATGCAAAAAAATTTTACACGCGTAAAAAACAGACTTAAAAATGATGGCTGACCGAATATGCAAATAAAACAATTATATTATTCGGGGAGATGCAAATAATTCGATTCTGGGCGGAACCATTGATATTGTATATGCTATAAAGTTAAAAACAAATCCAAGCAAAACTTACTCGAATAAGTTTTTTTCAATATATATATTTAAATAATATTTTTCTCTTTTTATAAAAATATATAACAAAAAAGAATAACGCAAGACTAGATATTTTAAAAACTTAAGCAAAAAATAAAAAATTACCAATCATTTTACTACCTATTTTTAATATCGTCCGTTTGAGGTAAGGAACAAATTTAAAAAAATCAGTTTTATAAACTGATACATTGCCAAATCTAAATTTGACCAGATATCTTTAAAAACTCATCATATGCGTCATATTCAAATCCATCATCATCGCAATCTTCTTCAGGCCTAAAAACAAATAATAAAAATTCGAATACGTAAATTATTATTAAAATCGATTCGAATAAATCATTATTTAAAATAAGAATTTAGAAATTTTCATATAAGTAGGTCCATTTGTCAGACCAAAGATGTATTAATAGATGGACGTTCAACTGATTGTTTAAATACCAAGCGTTATCAATTGTTATAAATGACAATAGCAAAACAATAGAAAACATTTGCGTCACCTGAAAATATCCAATTAAATAAAACTTTATTGTGAAAAGTATTGTATTTAATACATTTTACTATTTTCATAAAAAATATTCTATATACTCAATTACCCTAGTATCACTCCTGTATAACTATTAGGGCGGGTCAAATTTTTTTTTAAGTAACATATTATGTGAGGTTCCTAAATATATATAAAGGTTTTAAAGCAATTTTGAGGTCTGAACTAGCCTCCGCAAGTGTCACGCACAAAATCAGATTTTATAGCAACTATTTTTGTTTATATCTTTATTCAAATATCTTATTTCCATTGTGCTTTCTAATCAAACTTAGGAACTTTCGCCCTAGATTACAATTAGTTTATTACAAATATACAACACTTTTAGTAGCCATATCTAATTTCTGATGCCTTTGCTGATGACTATTCAAACAATTCTTTCGATATTTTGACTATGACAAGGATATTTTGGAATACTTAATGGACTGTCATTGGCTTTCAAAATACATTCATTTGAAAAAACATTCAGTAAAGGTGGTGAACTAATTTCCTCAATGTCCCAATTTACCCTTTCACTGAAATTATTGGCTCTAAAATTTAGTGTTACAGGAAGTTTAAAATGTCTATTGGGTTCGTTAGTATTTCTGGACTTGAGTATCCTTTGTATGGCTGCAGTTCTAACTTCTTTTCTTTCTTCATTTACCATTGCCCATAATATATTCTCAGTGTTGCCAAAATGTTAAGAGTTTTGTTTTAAACTTGCTTCATTACCTCCTTATATTTTACATCAATAACTGCATTTCTTACTAATTAAGCCAGATACCATTAATTTTAAGCGCCATCTATTGCCAAACGATGTGATATGAAACCATCCTGGTGCATAGCATTGCATAATAATTGTAACCAAGTCTTTTGTCGGCATTATATATAAACATATATATATATATATATATATATATATATATATATATATATATATATATATATACTATAGCATATTCATATGCGCAATTGCTCACTTTTTTTGCTAGTCTAAATTAAGTGAGCGTTTGGAGAAAACGATGAGGGAAAACGAAGAATAATGAATGAAAAGGTTGCTGACCCATACCAAACCCTCAGCCGATGTAGCAGCACTCCACTGCGAGTCAGGCTATTTGTCAGTCGATGTATGTACTGAAGCCCCCGCAGCAGGCTATTTAAGTATGATGGCATCATGCTCACGTAGAACATATAACATAAGAACATATACTGTTTAATATTTAAACGTAGAACACGATTTGCTTTTGTGAGCCACCGAGCATGAGTTTTTCCAGGAGAACTTTTAGATATTTTATTTAAAACCTCTCCTGATTGAATAGATAAACAAACGAATAATAAAGATATTTTTGATATAAGCTTAATGTACTGAGGATGTTATCAGCAAGTATATGAAAAGCACTTTTTATTTTTTCAAAAGGAACTACAGCTAAATTAGTTAAGTCTTCTGTTAATTTTTTTACCAATATCTCCTTTAAATGATGTTGGCCCAGAAGTTTTTCCATAAATTAACTTAAACGCATGTTTAAGCAAAAGTTCATTTAAATGGAGTTGAGAAATGAGCCACTGGATTGGTCTACCAAGTTCTGTTAATATTAGTTTTATGCCTCCTTTAAACCTACCAGTGTTTACTACAGTTGTATCACATAAGATAGCATATAAAGAACGACTACTGCCAGTTTCAAATATTAAATGGAGAATATTATCAACAATGCAGCAAGGAGTTCCATTATCAGATGTTCCTTGGAGTTCCTTGTAACTAACGATTGTAATATGTTCTTCTTTAACTATTCCTGTAGCTGTTTTGTATTGTCTTATCTTCCATCAAAACCAATACATTGTAATATCAAATTTTAACATTTTCTCCCAATAACATTTTTTTGTCCAACACGTCTTTCTCGTTCTACATTTTTTCCATCAAGTATATTTGATTCAATTAGTATTCCCAATTCTTTAAGAGCAACATTAATTTACTAACATGAATTTTATTATAGCAAGGCCATATTGTTCAAATAATTATCGAACTTAAAATCCTATATTAAAATTACAAAAATAAAATAATATGTAACTAAAAACTTAAAAATTAGTTTTACATGAATTAAATAAAATTGTTAAGAGATTTAAATAAATTTTTTATTTTTTATTTTATGCAAAAATTGTGGTGAATGGTTACATGGTCCAGTCCAATTTCTCACAGATGTTTCCCTTATAAACATTTATAAATATAGGCTCAAATCAAAATTAGGTATTCTCTCTTGCGTATATATAAGTTTAGGCTAACAAATAACTGATTAGACTTTTTACAAGTTAAAAAAACTGGCAACACATTTTTTTTTACTTTTAAAAAATACTTTATCGTTAATTCATATCAAATTTTGATTGAGGGAAAAGTCTCAAATAATAAAATACTTGTTTTATTAAATCCTAATGAGTGTAGGCTCATTATGGTATAATAAAAAATCGCCATAACAAAGGGGATGATACAATATCATTGTTTGTTGTAACAAAGGGGATGACACAATTGCATAATTTGTCATGTGAAATGTCATATATATGTGTGCATATATATATATATATATATATATATATATATATATATATATATATATATATATATATATATATATATATATATATATATATATATGTATATATATATATATATATATATATATATATATATATATATATATATATATATATATATATATATATATATATATATATATATATGTATATATAGTCTTGTGAGGTAGTCAGAAAGTTTTTCCCATAAACTGTAGTTTTAAAGAGCGCATTAATAAACCAGACCAGAAATAGTTTAAAAACTTGAAAAAAAAAAATTTTTTTTCCCAATGATAAACTGCCTGCCGAAATCAAACCCTCAGTCAATGAAGTAGCACTCCCTTGCGAGTCAGGTTATTTGTCAGTCGATGTAGCAGCACTCCCTTGCAAGCCAGGCTATTAGTCAGTTGATGTAGCAGCACTCCCTTGCAAGTCAGACTATTTGTCAGTTGATGTAGCAGCACTCCGTTGCGAGTCAGACTATACGATAGTTGATGTAACAACACTCCCTTGTAGCAGCAGGCTATAAGAAAGTCGATGTAGCAACGCTCTGTGCATGTTTTAAAAATATACTTTAATAAAACAACAACAAAAACACCATTAATTAAAAAAAAATTTCTAGTCATTATTGCGTTTTTTTTTAAAAACAATAAAATTTAATGTACTTCCGCATTAATTTAATTGCTTAGACATTTCGATGACAATCAAATACAGCTTAAGAGACAAGGTAATAAAAATTGTAGTCGAAAGAGACTTTTTTTTTACCATTAAAAACTCTTTTGACTACAATATAAGGATATATATATACAGTATGGTGTAAAACTGAACCAGAGTTTTTAAACAAATACAAAATTATGGTTTATTTTGTTTTCGATATATTAGCGTTGTTGGGATTATTACATTAGTAAAGTACTAATTTTTACAACTTTTTACGCCTCCTCTTTTTACCCCAAAGCAAAAGTATTTTTATCTAGTGACAAACATCTTTTGACTTCAATCAAAAGATTTTTTCTTCATCAAAAGATATTGCCTTCATCAAGTTTAGCGCAAAACAAGTTTTGCACTATACTTGATGAAGGCAATATCTTTATTATTTTTCTCAAATTAATCTAATAATTTTGTGTGCAAATCAATTGACTATATATCTTTTATATCTAAAATAATTTTCTATTTTCATAAATTTTATTGTTTAAATTTATTGTTTTTGATAGTCTTTTTAATATAATGGGAATTTCAAAGACAGAGAGTGATTTATTAAAAAGATGATCGAAGAAGGAAATACAACTCGTAAAATTGCTTCTAAATTAAAAGTTAGTCAAAGTACTGTGCAACGAATCAGAAAAAAATGTGGACATAATCTAAAAAAAAAATGTTGTCGGTCGACCAAAGAAGTTGAGTGCGGTAGACAGTAGAAGTGTAATCAGATATTTGACTACTGGAGAAGCAAAATTGACATCTCATGCAGCTAAACTTTTGCAATGCGATATAGAAAAAAATGTGAGCAGGTGGGCAGTGCAGCGAGATCTCATTAAAAGTAAATTTCGAGCAATTGAAAAGAAGAAAAAACCATTACTTAGTAAAAAAAATATTAAAGCAAGATTAAACTTTGTAAAAAAATATGAAAACTTTACCGAAGATGATTGGAAGAAAGTTATTTGGTCAGATGAAACTAAAATTAATCGGTATACCACTGATGGCCGCCAATGGAGCTGGGAAAGAGAAAGTAAACCATTAAGCCAAAAAGATTTTATTCAGACAGTAAAACATGGGGGAGGCAATATTAAACTATGGGGGTGTATGACAGCTTATGGATTGGGGCCAATTCAAAGAATAGAATAGAAACATGAATAAGGAAATGTATCTTGATATTTCAGCACGAATTATTGGAAACTGTTGAGAATATGCCTTACCCAATAAATGAGGTCATCTTTCAAGAAAACAATGACCCAAAGAACACTGCTAAAATAGTTAAGAATTGGTTAGCTTCGCAGGACTTTCAAGTGCTAGAATGGCCAGCACAAAGTCCTGATTTGAACCAAATAGAAAATTTGTGGTCACAATGTGTTATATGAACAAGTTCAAGAACAGTGGGAAAATATTTTGTTAAACCTTTGCAAAAATCTTGTAAAGAGCATAAATAGAAGATTAGCAGCAGTTAAAAAAGCTAAAGGATTAGGGACAAAATATTAAAAATTGACAAAAATTGACAGTTTTTTTCTTATGGTGCAAAAGTGATTCACCATGTTTTTCATTTATTATTTTGTAAGTAAATATTTTTCTTCAATAAATACTTAATAAAAATTGTTTTTTTAATAATAATTCCTACCAGCAATATTAATTCTCAAAATGCTAAATTCTTTATGAGAAAATAAAAATATTATGCATTCTGGTTCAGTTTTGCACCATACTGTATATATACACACACACATATATCTATATCTATCTATCTATCTATCTATCTATCTATCTATCTATCTATCTATATATATATATATATATATATATATATATATATATATATATATATATATATATATATATATGTATATATGTATATATGTATATATGTATATATGTATATATGTTTATATGTATATATGTATATATGTATATATTTATATATATATATATATATATATATATATATATATATATATATATATATATATATATCTATATCTATATTTATATTTATTTTTATATCTATCTATCTATCTATCTATCTATCTATATATATATATATATATATATATATATATATATATATATATATATATATATATATATATATATATATATATATATATATTTTTAAACGTCTTTGCTTCCAACAAGGCTGCAAGCAACCACTAATTAATGGTGGAAGTTACTGTAAGAGAAAAGATGAAGATTGTAGAGCAAGATAACGATTGACAGACGACTTAAAAGATTGCAAATTATATGAATCAGGAAAGCAAGATGAAGGAAGCAAATTCCAAAGAACTGATGTTCGAGAAAAAAAACTAGGCGAATAAGAGTTTTTGAAGCACTTAAGAACAGTAACAGAAAAAGGATGAGACTTAATTGAATGATGAGTAACACGAGAATAAATTTTAGTAGATGTCACAAGAGACGCTAGCTCTTTAGAGCAGTGTCCATTATAGTATTAGTAGAAAAGAGAAAGAGAAGCAACTTTAGCAGATGCTAATTTTGCAACAGATTTGATATAAGGTATCCAAGAAATATCAGAAGTAAGAGTTAATTCTAGAAGATGAAGGGTAGGAGATTCATTGAGTACATTACTGTTCATAAATATAGGAAGGTCTAAATTATTGCAATAACGATTGGCTGAAAAAAATTGAGTTTTATCTGAATTAAAGTTCACCAGCCACTGTGAGCCCCTTGCTGTAGCAGAAGTGAGATCCTTTTCAAGCTCAGATGCCCCTGCAAGCAATCAGACGGAGTTGGCTTCATATCGTGACAAGAATAAATGGTAGTATCATCAGCAAACAATGCCATCTTAGATGTGAGAAAATCTGGAAGATCGTTAATGTAAATTAAAAAGAGTATAGGGCCAAGGATTGAACCTTGAGGAACCCCTGAGGTTACAGAATAAGAAGAAGAGTGCTGTCCATCAAGGACAACTTTTATACTACGATTGGAAAGGAAGGATTCAATAATCTTAAAGATGTTTCCAGATACACCGTAAGGAGAAAGCTTATGAAAAAGACCAGCATGCTAAACTTTATCAAACGCTTTAGAAATGTCAAGAGCCTTAACCTCTCCACCTTATGCAATTATCTAATGTGCGATAAAACCTATTGGTTATTACTGATAGCAAATCAGCCGTAGAACGAGAAGATCAAAATCCATATTGATGATCAGAAAGTAGGTTATGAGATTCGAGATTCGAGATTAAGTGTTTGTTAATTAAAGATTCAAAAACCTTGCTTATGATAGGAAGAAGACTAATGGGACGGTAATTAGACGAATCTGAACGCTCACCAGAATTTTTAAAAATAGGGATAACAGATGCTGCTTTCCAGCAGGCTGGAAAACAAGACTCTGATAAGCACTTGTTAAATAGTTGTAAAAGGATAGACGACAGCTCCGGAGAACACTTCTGCAAGACTATGATAGGTATGTTGTCCGGGCCGCAAGCTGTAGAAGAGTCTAAGCAGGAAATTACTTTAGATACAGAAGCTGGAGTGATACGGATGTCGAGCAGTGGATCAACCTGTTTGACAACTATATCTGGTAGAGTGCAACTAGTGGAATCCAGAGATGATATTGATGAAAAGTTCTTGGCAAACAATTCAGCTTTGTCTTTAGATGAGGTGACAAAGTCTGAACCATACAAAAGAGGTGGAATTACAGACTTGCCCTTATTATTGATACTATTAAAGATTCTCCAGAAGTCACGAGAGCCTAATTTTTGTGATAAAATACAAAATTTCATGATCTGAGAATAGCGGGCTTTGGCGTTAGACAAAACCTTTTTACAATGGTTCCTAGCAGTAATAAACAGACGTCTGTTTTCTGGAGAATTGTTTTGCTGATAGATATGGAAGTAATGGTTTCGATTGGCGATTGCAGCAGCACAATGTGAGGAAAACCATGGAGAAGAGTGAGGCTTGACCTGGAATCGTCGAGAGGGAATAAAGGATTCCATGCCAGCCTTAATCCACAAAGTCATGTAAGAAACACATTTGTCAACAGGAAGACAAAAGATTTCTACCCAGGGGCTATCACGAAGAAAATCACGGAAAGAGTCCCAGTCAGCTTTAAGGTAGTTGTAAGATGTACAATGATAGGGGGATTCTGATGGTAAAGAAGAATGAGATAATAGTTTTAGAGAGACCAAACCATGATCAGAAGCACCTAAGGGTGAGTGTGGTGAAACTGAGCACTGACTAGGATTAGAAACAAGACATAAGTCGAGTAGAGAAGGTAAATGATTCGAGTTGTCTGGAAAGTTGGAAAGTTGACTATTTGAGTTAGGGATTGAGAAAGGCAAAAGTTGTGGGCCTCAACGCCTGCGGAATCACTGACACTAGAGCCAATCCATTCAGTGTAATGAACATTAAAGTCACCTACAACAACAATATTGGCTGATGGATAAAGAATGAGGACTTGGTCAATATAATCAGAAATAACATCAAGAAGAGTGCAGTCTTGAGATGAAGGAGAGCGATATAGAACAAAGAGAAAGGTGATAGGGTGAAGTGGTGCTAAACAAAAGCACATAAAAGAGTAGTCTGTGGATTCAAACCTAGTTTTTTGACAAATGGGTGAACTCTTACGAATGTAAATGCCTAGGCCAAGCATGTGACTATTGGAGTCTTTACGAATTAAAGGAAGATAACCAACACTAAGATCACAAGATGAGACAGCTGAACTCAAATTAGTCTCACAAAGAGCAAGTAGGTCTGGTGAACTTTGCAAGAGATAAGACTTAACAGAAGTTACTTCAAAGACCACGAATATTGGTGAATGATAGGTTTAGCGAACTTGGTGATGACTGTGGTTTTTTGTGTTTTATAGTTTTTGTTACTTTATTCATTTTTAAATTTGTTAAAGAACTTGACTCGAAATATAGATAGTACTTAGTACACTGTTTTATAACCCAAACAATTGCCTCATTTTCTACTAATAAACCCTTAGCCATAACAAAGGGCTCTAATGTGGCCTTGGCAATACACACCAAAAGTACAAACAGAGACACCATCCATGCGCAACATGGCACTGTTAGTACTCTGATATTTTTCAGCTGTTGATGGAATCAGCCTTTCTGAGAGCTACCACAGAGTTCGGGAAACCTGACTACCAGCAGGCCTCAGAACCATAAAACTGAGTTTTAGAGCTGTAGCCTCATTTGGAGATAATAGAATGAGTTGCCTAGTCATAAAAACAGAGACACAAGCATACCCACAAACAAGCAACCCATGCATCGAGTCAGCATTTAACATCCTAAACTGGAAACAATTGATTAAAAACACATCTGCGCCAACCTAATAGATGGAGAAGGGGTGCGAGGCTGGTCAACAGATAGAATTTGTTTACCCCTTAAGTCTTTGCCCAGGAGGCCTTCTACAAGACAGCAGCCGGATGCATTTAACATCTGCCCAAGATGAACTTTTTTATCAAGACACCATCTCTAGTCTTTACTCAACCAAGAGCCCTAAGGCAGGGGGTGTTTTATGTCAGAGTTTGCATCTCAATGTAAACTCCGACATTTGCATTTAAATTCATTCAACCAAAGCACTAAAATTCATCAAAAGGTTTCAACCATTTTTCTAAATAAAGAATGCATGCTTCATACAATAGCTTAATTTATGCCATAAAGCATTTATAATCTTTTTCTCTGTCACTTTAGACTTTCTTAATATCTTTGACTTTAAGCAATATAAATTTTTCATTTAAACAGCCTTTTAAAACTTCCAAGGTAGAGTGAAGAAAGCTAATATCTTCTAAAACTGACGTTTCTTCCCTTTCAATTACTATATATATATATATATATATATATATATACATATATATATATATATATATATATATATATATATATATATATATATATATATATATATATATGTATACACACACACACACACACACACACACACACACACACACACACACACACACACACACACACATATATATATATATATATATATATTTATATATATACACACACACAATGGTATACTCACACACACTCATACACACACACATATATATATATATATATATATTTGTATATATATTTATATATATATACACAAACACACTCATACATACATATATATATATATATATATATATATATATATATATATATATATATATATATATATATATATATACATATATATATATATATACACACACACATATATATATACACACACACACACAAACACACACTCATTCATATATATATATATATATATATATATATATATATATATATATATATATATATATATATATATATATATATATATATATATATATATATATATATATAAAAATCACTCTAAAGTAAAATTTACTTGCAAAATTATTTTTATTTGGTAAAAACATAAAAATACTTACTTTAGTTGACCAGACACCTTTAAAAACTCATCGTATGCTTCAAATTGCAATGCATCACCTTCTTCATCATTTTCCAAGTTTTCTAAAGGTCTAAACAAACAAAAAATATATATATAAAAATATATTATTACCTACAAATTTCTTTACACATTGGGGTGTTTGCGGGTCATTCATTCCCACACCATGGAAAAAAACAGCCAAAAATAAAGAAACTTTATAACTCATTATATACCATTTTATGCTGACTTTTATTGTTGTTTTTTATTTACAGATTCAAAGTTGCTCCAAGAATTAGAGTCTCAAAGTTGTTCCCTAGAAATCATAACATAAAACACCACCAAAAAGCATTTAACAAGTTAGTTTTTAATTCAATTAATGCTGGCTTTCATGGTTTAAAATGGAGCAAATTTTTTTTTTTTTGAAGTTTATTCCCAATTGTTCCTTGTGTGGTTAAGACAAGTTTCCATAATGTTAATTTCTTATTTAAATATAACACTATGGACAAGTGGAACCATTTTTTACAAGTGGCTGCTCTTCTTGACACTAACCATAACTTCAATAATCTCATACATATGCAATGGTGTAGTTATAGAGCTCTTGCTTTGTAAGCCAGAAGTTCCAAATTTGACTACACCCCTGGTGCTGCACTTAACTTGCCTTGTTCCTCAAGGTTTGTATTTGGGAGGTAAAGAGAAGATTTAATATCATAAAGAAGTTGAAAAAACAAACAATTGTTTTGCAGATCACTAGGAAGGTAGATTACTATTTAAGGTTTATGAGTTGTCTCTACCCATAATAACTAAACATTAAATTGGGGCTTTAAATTATAACTTTTATCTTCTCCTAAGTATATTGGTTTCATCAGAGCTAATGAGCTAAACCAAGCTTAGTCTGCCTATCCTATCTCACTTAAATCAAAATTTTGAAAAGACATACACAATTATAAAACAGACTTGAAGTTTTTAACCTGGATTCATTAGAGAAAAGAAGAATTCATGGAGACTTTATACAAATGTACAGAATAGTATATGGTTACGATCAAATTTCATTACAAAAACCAATAAATTTTATAACCAATAGAGTATAAGACAAAAAAAAAAAAAAAAAAGCAGAAATCACAACTACAGATTCTAAAGAGAATACACTCCAAAATGTAACACAACACATAACTTTTTCTTAAATCGAGTTTGTAACAATTTGAACAATTTAGATCATGAAGCTGTTAATGTGAAGACAATAAACTCTTTTAAAAACAATATTGATAAAAGATAAAAGTAAATTTTAACTATTATATAGTAATCTCTTATGTGATTACTTTCCATGTAATTTTTACACTATGGTTTTCAATTTAATAATAATACATTTAAAAATCTATCACTAGTCAAATAAAGTTGTTTTGACACTAATGTCAATATAAAACTGGTCAAGTATAATTTAAAACTGTTTAAAAAAATTGCTATATATTATTTATAATATTTTTAATAGAGCAACCAAAAATATGATCTAAAAAATACTATTTAAGTGTCATTATTATACAAAAAAACTTGAAATCAAAATTAAAAAGTTCAATTATAAAAATAAAACTCTCTCTTTTTAGACTAATAATAGATTAAGTGCCGTGCATGTCACGAGCAAATTTCATTTCAATTTCTTATAAATAATAATATAAAAACACCAATTTATTTACAGTATCTCAGTTATTTACAGTATCTCAGTTATTTACAATATCTCAATTATTTACAGCCTGATAACCATTAACTGTCAAAATGTCATACAACAGATTCAGGATTTTGTTACACAACAATGTTGCAGAAATAATGTTGCAGAAACTGATTTGTTTCAATATCTGCAACAATTATTTTACAATAAATTACAAGAGACTGTTCCTAAATAATAATACCCAATCGTTGACTGTGATGTCAACAATGTAAGACATTTCTACAACTATTAGAAACCGACCTTTAAACAATAAAAATACAAGGTTTCACTTAACATTGTATTTTTGTATTTGTTTTTATAATTTTTTTTAGTTAGACTTGCAAAACTTTCTCACAAACTACATCACACAAACACCAAATTTAACTTAAAAAACTCACAAAACCATTGTAATTGTTGCAAAAAAAGTAAATAATTTAAAAATTTTATATTGCAAATTAAAATCAGATAAATCTTATATTTCCATGGTTGTAACTAGCATAACTATAAACTGAAGTTAAATACTTAAAATTTTTGAACTAAGATTGCTTTACTGGATTAGTAAATTTATTAAATGTGCCAAAAAAAAAAAAAAAAAAGCCCTAAAAAGTATAATAAAACAATAAATATTATTTATCATATTTAATAAAAATAAATTTTACTAGAAAAAAATATTTTTTTCAATTCATTTATTTTTAAATATTATTATAAACTAATTTTTATTAGAATCTCTTGAAAAAGTTATGAAACTGTTCAATTAAAACCAAGCTAAAAAAATTTAAATTAAAAAAATATTAAAGATTGAAAAACAACTAATACAGTTTACTACTGTATTACAGTTGTTTACGCAAAAAAAAAAGTAATACAGTAGAGCTATATCAAAAAAAAAAAAATTTAAAAACATCTCGAACAAAATAGAACACATAAAGAGATAAAAATTATAAAAATAATTTTTTAAGAAATGAATACAAAGTCAATCATTATGGTATATTATTTTGAATGAATGATCTATGATACACTGATAACTCTATGATTTTAATTTTTTACTTTTTTATGGTTGAATGTAGCAATTATTTTTTAAAAAACATCTGTTTTTATTTTTATTTGTGAAAAAAAAAAAGTTAAATCTCTATGTTTCCACATTTGTGTGGTTCATTAATCCATTTTAAAAGATTGGTCAAATCTTAATCATTTACAATCCAAACTTTTTTAGCAACACTTTGTAGGAAACTTTGTGAAATTATTTGCAAGATTAAGAGAAAAAAAAAGTCAAAAAAGTCAAAAAATAGTTTCAGTTTAAGTTTGTAAAATGAGATTTTTTTGCTAATAAATCTGCGTAGATATTTGGAGGGAAGAATTTCAATATTAGGTGATACATAACCATTATTTTTTTCAAATAATTTTAGAAGATACAAAAGTAAAGGAAATTGGTCTGTAGTTAGTTAGGTAAACCTTAAAGCTGATTTCATACAATTAAGTTACATTCGCTATTAATACTAACTTATTTACAACTTGAATCTTGTTTTTTTTATATATATACTTTTATCTAGGTCATTTATTGCTACAATTTTTTTTCTCAATCAAAATGATGATTATTATAATAATAAAAGCGCTGTAACAAGAGCAAATACTCTTGCAGAACCTGACTTGTCAGGTTCTGCAAAGTCAGGTTAAATTTAAAGTCTTTTTCTATTAAATACGACGCATTGATTGTAACATGGTTTAACTTGTTCCAAATATTTACAATGCAATTTGTAAAGAAATTGTATCTTGTGACCAGGTGTTCCATTATTATTTGATGCTAATTGTTGAGCATTTGCACAATTTTAATGTAATTAGTTTATTAAATATCTTATACATTCGAGTTGCATCAATTCTTATATGAATCAGTGTTTTTTAAAAGGGCGGATTTCCTGATAAAAATTTTGAGCCAATTTGCCATTTTAAAAAACACTGATTTATATGTTGTGTCTTTAATATTGTGATTCCAAATTAAAGCAAATCTATTTTTGTACTGTAACTTAATATTAACATTGATAATCACCTTTGTATTAATTTTCTAATTTTTTTAATATTACCAAAAAGATATGAAGACTACTATAGCATTCCAACTGATAAATGATTTGCATTAAAATTATAAAAGTATGTTGCATGATAACAATACTCCTGTAGGCTTTTTTGCATGCATACTTAATCAGTTGCTTTGATTTCAAATCATTAGACAACATGATGCCAAATTTTTTCTCACAGTTACTCTGTACAATAAGGTGGATAATTTTTATATCATCTAAAAGATTTTCTCATTTAAAAGATTGTTTGAAATTAAATGTATGAAAATTTTTTCTTTTGGAAAAGTTTCTAATATTTTGCAGCAGATGGATGTTATTGATACTGGTCTGTAGTTTTTTGTATGTAATGTACCATGTAAAATACAAGAATTAGTAAACTGAGAATAATGGAGCACAGCATCAGACGAAACCATTTTAAAAGCTAAAATTGTGGAAAAAATGAAAAAAATGATTAAAAATAGCAGCTGGACAAGGAGAAAACCATGAGAGTGACACTTGACTTAAAACAGACAAAGAATAAAAGTTTCCATATCTGCTTGCATCCAGGAGATTATAAAAATGTTGCAATTTAAAGATGTTGCAAAGAAGTGAAAGACATAAGCAAGGTTTAATATTAATATTGTATACATATTTTTTTGATTAAATAATTTTTTTAAGGTCAAATGTGTCATTAAGATAAATAGACTTTAAGACAATGAGAGTACATAAAGTTATCACTGAATAAAATTGTATCAACATCAATAACATTATAATAACATAATTAGTGGTTAAAGTCAGAGTTGATAATGCCGCCCGGTGGCAATGTAACTTTCTGCCAAAAGGCCAACTTTTTAAGGGAGGCAGAAGCTGTTAGCAGGCTTGGGCAGGAATGCATGCGATCGAGCGCTATTGTTGACCACGCATATGATTTTATTTTTTGACAACTTGACCACGATTGTTTATATGTTTTAATGATTTAAACATTTCAGAAATGCGCTGAATGTAGAAACACTAAGCTTAACTTAAACTGGAAAAAAAAGTTTAAAAAAAAACTTTCGAAAAAAAAATTGCTAACAAAAAAAGAAAAGAAAAAAAATTTATTACGAAAAAGAAATTATATAAGCACTAAAAAAAATTGAACTCGAAGCGTAATATTTTGTTACGCATTTAATTGAAATAAATGTTATTAAAACTTTAATAAAATATGTACAATAGTTATAATATTTAAACAAAGTATTTTAAGATGATTTTATGAAGTCTCTTGGAATGGGAGCACAAAAATAAATTTATTTTAGGTCGCTACGGCATTATTCTTCCAGTGGGCACAGAATGATTTTTAAACGTTCATAGGACGTTTTTATTAGGTTCAAACCTAATAAAAACGCCTAAAAATGTTTTTAAAACATACCGCGCCTACTGGGCTGGCTATCACATTAGTATGATTTTACTTCCGCATTTTTTCTTTTTTTATACTATCCAATAAGAATGCCATATAAAACTTTTACTTCCAAGTAAAAAATCTCCTATAAAATTTTCTTTAAATTGAATTTCCTATTTTAAATCGAATTTAATATTTTTTCTTATAAATTTTGTGCAAGCCATTATTTATAATTTTATATAATATATATATTTTAATTATTCACCTCCCCAAGGCCTTTGAGGGCCGCTACAGTCTAGGAGGCTACTTTTGTTGTTACAACCCTCTCAACTCTATATCTCCGAAACATAAACCTCGACAAACAAGGCTGCTGCATGGAGAAACAAGTTGATATAACCTTGATTAAGTCATTATTCTGTTATTGATAGGTGTATAACTCTTTAGAATTTTAAGATATTAGAATTATTTCAAAACAAAAAATTGAACTTAATGTTAATAGATCAAGCATAACACATTAAAAAAAAAAAAAATTAAACTTTTTTAAAACAATAGATACTTAAAAGTTTTTTACAAATAAGTGTTACCAATTTTACAGTTGTTACCAGTTTTACAAATAAGTGTTACCAACTAACTACAGTTACAAATATATGTTTTTTTCAAATGATAGTTACTCGTCATTTAATAAGCTACCAACAGCAACTAATGGGTAGGTACCCATTGACAGGAACCTGTCGACAGCCCTATATATAAGTTTACAGTTCACATTTTACCAACTAATGAAAATTTATATTAAAATTGTGCATTAATTGATATACAAATTAATAAGATATACAAAAGGTTTGAAAACTAAACTTATTTGTAAATCAATAGAAGGTTATTTTTTAGTTTGATTTTTTAAAAGAAAAAATAGATGTATTTATGACCCTAACCCTTACCATAAAAGTAGTAAGTAGTATTGAATTTTTATTAATTTACAATGTATTTTTTTTTAATTTTCTTATTTCTTGTACTTACTCTTATATTTTTTATGAATTTTCTTATTTCAGAAAGAGTGGCTTCAAACGGCTCAGTAATATCTTCAGCATCTAATTGGCAAATGTGCACTCCACAAAACATCTTGGTGCAGATTGTACCAATATTGTTTTCTAACACATTTATCCTTCTCCCTTGTTTTAAAGTTTGCGATTATCTTTTGTTTTCGTCAACTGTATTTTTGTAATTTTCAACAACTTGTTCTTCAAGATTGACTCAATCAATCAAATCGAAATCTTCAAAACCAAACTTTTGTGCTTCTTCTACAAATTCATTACAAATAACTATTTGATTTTGCATTTCTTAGATATTATCAAAAGCTTTGATTTTGTTCTTACCTTGATTTGAACAAGTTGAGTAAATATTGCCTACTCCTTTTCCTACTTTTGCAAGCAGAGTAATTAGCTGATCGACTAAAACCAAAATTGCCGTCCATGCTGAGTGAGTGTTCCTAAAGTTCAACCGTCCAATTTTCAGTCTTTTGTATACCAAATACTTCCAAACAAAACATTTGTATTGAGAAGAGATGCTGAATCAAACATTAATGATGGATATGCATTTTCTATATCTTTTTCAATAATTTCATAAGTTTTATTAGCAGCTTTAAGAATAAATTTTAAGAATAAACTTTGCTTTCTGACAATTCCTGTCACACCAAAAGCTTAAAAAGCTTTTCTAATTATTTCATTCTTCCCCATGTCATCAAAAACTGTCATTGGCAAACTTCTCATTAGAACTGACTTTAAAAAATCTCTTACTGTACCGTTAATATCAAAGTCATACTTAACCGTTCTACATAAAACAAAAATAGTAATTTTTTCAACATTATCATAATTTTTGTTTAGAACTCTTTTTCTTTCAAAATTTCTATGGCAATATATCCTTGTGCTTTGAATGCAAATGATTTCTGAGGTGAGAAACAACTCATTAATTCTGGCGAGAATTAATGAGTTGTTATTTTTTTCTTCTATTTCCATTTCTTATTTTCAGTCAGTTGAAAATATTCTTTAACTCGTTCGTTTTGCATCTTACTCTATTTGTAGCTTAAATTGTTGTAAACAAATTTTCAGGAAAAAAGTTACTTTTTTGAAAAAGTCATACTTATAATTACTATATAATTATAAACAAATTAATGTAATTGATAAAGGTTGTATAATAATATACACCTCATAATCTTAATTATCAATTAAGATTACTTTAAAATGTAAAGCACTTATAATTGTATGTAGTTGTGAAAATGACATGGTTTGTTAACGGTATATCCAAATATTTATGGTTTATCAAACATTTCATTCAGAGTCACATAATATAAAAATAGTATTAATTCAATACTTTTAAACGTTTTAAAGATTGCTGATTGCTTCAACCTGATTAAAAAAAGCAGGTGGTATTTATTCAATGCTATCAAGTCAATAATATTGACAAAATACATTTTTATGCGAGAAGTCAAAATCTTAAGAAAGTAAAAATTTAAAACAAGTAAAAAATAGTGAAAAAAAAGTTGTTAAAAAAATAAAATAAAAATCTAAAATGAAATTTTTTTTTACTGGGGAATAAAAATTTATCTTTTTTTTTAGTAAATTTAGTAAAAATTAGCAAAAATTTCATACTACACCGGAATTTAAAGAAGTAAAAAATTTTTTATACATTTTGAAGAGAAAAGTTTTTAACAAATAAATAAATAAATAATTATGTCAGTAAGAACCAAAAAATTTTTTTGTTAAAAGATTTTTGCTTGAAGTGGGTGTTCTGCAATTCTTTACTTCAATGACAGTAAATACAGTCTAAAAAGAGTTTTTATTTCCTTAATATAAAATTTGACTTAAAAAGTTTATTGGCATTTCATCAAAAAGATACAAAGCGTTTAAAAATTATGCTTAAAAAAGATGATGTCAAAGTTAAAAAAAGAATATCGTGCTTATTATTCTTAGCAGACAATTTTTGTTTTTGTAGTTATCCTCTTTAAATTCTTAATGTTAATTATTTTGTTTTTGTTAAAATAATTGAAAAATATTACATTCATAAAGAATTAACAAAATTAATTTAATTTGATGTCAGCTTGAATTATTATTTTTCCAATAATAAAAACTTTTATGAAAGTTAATTTTTTGTTTAAAAATCAAATTTTTTGCAAACAAATTTTTATTCATATGAAGAGTTTTTATCCCACCTTAGCGGGATTTGGTGGTTCATAGGCAAGACCTTGCCTAGGCAGGAGAATAATTTTACATATAAATGCTTGTATGAGTTTTAAAGGAGAGGCAAAATCTTAGTGTTTTTTTTTTATCCCAGTTAAAAAGGATGATTTTTATCTGTATGCACAGCCCCTAAAGCGTGTTTTTCATTTTCAATTCTGTAGCAAAAATTTTACTACCAATAAACTTTTTTTTTTGTAAAAGTTTGGATTATTGTGTTACACGATATATTACGCAATAACAACGTTACTCAATTGTTTATATAAAACTAAAATAATTACAAAAATTATTGTTACAATATAGCTAAAACGAGTAGTATTAGTTGCCAACACCCAAGTATTGTCCAACTTATAAACGACCAGTAACTTCTATTAAACTGCTCATTGTACTCATCGTCTTCAACCAACTATCTTCTCGTTCTTCTCTAATTATCCATATATTTGTCTCTTTTTTTCATCCTTCTCTAATTATCCATATCCCTATATTTCTCTCTTCTTTTCGTTTTTATAAAATTTCCCCAGATGCTAGATGCGTTTTGGTTCTTGAACGAATTGTTTAGTTTATATTGTTTATGTTAAATCTTCTTTACGGTTCACCTAACCCAAGCATTCTGCTTGAATGGTTAGTAACCTTCGTAACAATTGGAAAAAGCTCAATTTAAACCGACATCAAAGTAAATTAATTTTATTAAATTTTAATAATAATAAAAAATGTTGTGTTTTTCAAATATTTTTACAATATATGACTAAAATTAATAATTTAATGCTGTGGTCTAAAAATTAAAGTTTTAGCGTAAGGGCGACAAAATATCAAACATTGATCAAAAACTGGCAAATTATTTGTAATAAAGTTTTTTTTGATTTTTTAAGGCATGTAAACAAAATTTCTGATTTTTAACATTTGTTTTGAATATGAAATTACTAACTTATTTGATATCCTAGAAAAACAACCTCTCTCACAAAATCATTATTATTTTTTTTTTTTTTAAATTATTTAAATAGTCAATAAATCATATAAAACAAATCTTTGATGTCAAATATCTAATATTTGTTCTCAGTTAATATTTTAATTACTCGTTAACTTAAAAACAAATTATTTTTCATTACATCCGCTGACGGGAGGCAAATATTTCTGCCTCCAATTTGGCAGCTGCAGCCATCTGGGAGGTAGAAGCTATTGGAGGCAGCCTCTAAATGGTTTTGCCTCCAAAATTTTTTCTGGGATTTCATATTTAAAATTAATATAAAATAACATTTAACCTACAGCGCTCGAAATAGTTTTTTAAAGCTTGCCGATCAAATGTAATTTTTTCACAAAAACAGGTTATTTTCCCTTGGATTTTTCAAAATTTCTCTGAAAATAGCCGATCATTGATCGTTGATCGGCCATTATTTCGAGCGTTGAACCTATAACAAAAATTGTTAACTTATGGCAAATTTTTTTTAAAATATTAACTAAACAAAAACAAAACATACCTTTCTTCATACTCATCATACTTTTTCCAATCTATATCTAATAAACAAGAAATATTTATTATAAACAACAAAATAAACTGTATTTACTAATAAATTATTAGTTCAGCTATCTTATATTCAAGGTTCCAAGTTGACAAAAAAAAAAAAAAAAAAACTTTAAAATTTCATACAAAAGTAAAAAACTTTGTTGATTTTAATATTATTTTTAATCATACAAAAAAACAAATAAAATATGTAATAGTTTTATTTTTATGTCACAAAAATTTGGCAAACCATGTTTAATGGTTTAAAACTATTTAACACTTTTATTTTATTATTATTAGAAATTATTTAATATTCATAAATATAATTCTTACAGTTAATGTTCAAAGTTGAATGTTTAATGCGGTCTAAGTGTTTATCAATTATTAATAAACACTTAGTGTTTATATAAAAAAATTAAAATTATTGACATTTTATATTTTGTCAAGATTTTTTTGCTGAGTAAGATTTTTTCATGTTTAAATCATGTCCTACAGTAGTGCAGATTGTGTTGTTACAAAAAAGGCCGTTACAAGTTCGTATTAATATTTTTAAACAAATAAATGCATTTGACTTCAAAAATGATTTATATTTAATCAGATTGACGAAAATATAATTTATAGTAAAAAAATAAAATATACTCAGATAATCTGCTAAGAAAACAACTAGAAGAAGATTAAATAATAAAGAATTTTACAGAAAATTAAAAAAAAATTAAGAAAATACCTTAGAAAAAAAGTCATTTGATTATAGTATGGAACTGCAAGATTTGCAAAAAAAAGTGTTTATATTATTACACGGAAGAACACCTAACTGACATGACAATAACATCAAACTAACTTTGTAGATTGATAGATTTAAAGGTTTGTGATAAAACACTCATATGATATGAGAGGAAAAAACATTCTTATGCAATACCAGAAGTTTGTAGAAAAATATTTGATCATTTTAGCGCGTATGATATGAAGACTAGTCATTATTCTGGAAAAACAATATTTAAATGCAAAGTTGAATATAATGATATTGTACAATAGTTTTCGTAATTAACATCCAGGAACAAAAGTTTCATATGTTTTTTTCAGAAGATATTTTAAAGAAAATTTTAACTTAACCATTGGTTGCCTATATACAGATGTTTGCAATAAATGTGAAGAATTAAGCTACAAAATTAAGTCACCTTAACTGAATTAAAATGCTAAAAAAGGCTGCTGTTAATGGTCCACAAAAAGCCAAAAAATTTTACTAAAAAATGGAAACATTAAAAAAAAAATCATTCGATTGCCCTACGGATGTCGAAGAGTAGAATTCATATTTAATATTTTATTTCATTATTACTGAATATATATTAATATATAAAATTTTATTTCATTATTACTATCTTGTAAATGATTTGCATACATTTATTTTCAATAACAAACATGTTAAGTTTAAAATACTGTTGTACTTTTGTTCTAGGTGATGATCAGCAAAAATCACACATACACACTTTATAAAAAACAGTGAATAAAAAATAAAATATAATTTTTTTTTTAATCTTTTCTAATTTTTAAAAATACAAAATAAATAATTTTTGAAGTTCTATAAATATTATATACATAAAATATATAAGGATATTATATAGTACAAGAAACAAGAGAAATAGTAAAAGAAATAGTAAAAAAATTTGAAAATTTTAAGAACACCAAAACACCACTAAGTATTTGTTGCGCATATGTCATGATAGAGATACTTATGTTATTAATGAGCTCAGGCAAATAGTCCTAATAAGCTGATGGTCAGAAAAAAAATTATGATCTAAAATTTATTAAAAAAATTTAATATGTCTGTCATGCTACTCTGTTTGCGTCATATTCAATAGAATCAACTGTTTCTTGATTATGTTTGGAAAATACACCTCTTTTATTTCATCACCTGTCCTGTTACTCTATTTGCTATGCTGTGGAGGCAATAAAAAAATTAACTGTAGCTAGCGATAACTTTAAAATTTTGATGACAGCACACTTAACCAATGACCTATCAGAGAAATGCCTTTAGGAGTAAAAGAAACTATTTTATAAACCTCTTATAAGCTCTATGCATGCCGAAAAAGTGCATATGTTTTTTTATTATTCCAAATATAGCAACAGTATACTTTATAGTCCCAAATATAGCAACAGTATTCCATTTCAGATTTATAGAGATAGAGAATAGAATCCGGAATAAGAAAGTGTCAAGCTCAATAAAGAGATGCAACTTTAGCAGATGCTAATTTTGCAACAGATTTGATATGTGATTTCCAAGAAACATCAGAAAAGTTAATCCTAGAAGATGAAGGGTAGATGACTTGTCAAGTACATTACTGCTTATAAATATAGGAAGATTTAAATTATTGCAAAACCGATTGGCTAAAAAAAAATTGAGTTTTATTTGAATTAAAGTTCACCAGCCACTGTGAGCCCCATGCTGTAGCATGTGTGAGAGATCATTTTCAAGCTCAAATGCCCCCTCCAAGCAATCAGAGAGTGATGGTTTCTTATCATGACAAGAATAAATGGTAGTATCATCAGCAAACAATGCTACTTTAGATGTGAGAATATCTGGAAGATTGTTAATGTAAATTAAAAAGAGTATAGGGCCAAGTATTGAACCTTGAGGAACCTCTGAAGTTACAGGATATGAAGAAGAGTTCTGTCCATCGAGGATAACTTTTATACTACGATTGGAAAAAAAGGATTCAATAATCTTAAAGATGTTACCAGATACACTGTAAGAAGAAAGCTTATGAAGAAGAAAGCTTATGAAGAAGAAAGCTTATGAAGAAGAAAGCTTATGAAGAAGACCTCTTGACATTAGAAATGTCAAGAGCGATAGCCTTAATCTCTCAACATTTATCTAATTTAAGATAAAATCTATCATTTATTACTGTTAGCAAATCAGTTGTAGAATGAGAAGATCAAAATCCATATTGATGATCAGAAAGTAAGTTATTCGATTCAAGATGAGAAATTAAGTGCTTGTAAATTAAGATTCAAAACATTGCTTATGATAGGAAGAAGACTAATGGGACAGTAGTTAGAGGAATCAGATCACTCACCAGAATTTTTGAAAATAGGGATAACAGATGGTGCTTTCCAGCAGGCTGGAAAACAAGATAAGCACCTGGTAAATAGTTTTAAAAGTATAGACAACAGCTCCGGAGAACACTTCTGCAAGACTTTAACAGGTATGTTGTCTGGATCACAAGCTATAGAAGAGCCTATATCACTTTAGATACAGAAGCTGGAGTAATATGTATGTCTAGCAATGGATTGACCTGTTTGACGGCTATATCAGGTAGAACGCAACTATTGGAAGCAAGAAATAATACTGATGAAAAGTTCTTAGCAAAAAATTCAGCTTTGTCTTTAGGTTAGGTATCTAAGTCTGAACCATACAAGAGAGGTAGAATAACAGATTTGCCCTTATTATTGATACTAATTAAGATTCTCCATAAGTCACGAGATTTTTGTGATAAAATAAAAGATTTCATGACCTGAGAATAGCAAGCTTTGGCGTTAGACAAAATTTTACAATTGTTTGTAAAATTTTGTCCAACGCCTTTTTACAATTGTTTCTAGCAGTAATAAACAGAAGTCTGTTTTCTGGAGAGTTGTTTTGCTGATTGATATGGAAGTAACGGTTTCAATTGGAAGTTACAGCAGCATAATGTGAGGAAAACCAAGGGGAGTGAGGCTTGACTTGGAATTGTCGAGAAGGAATAAGATTCCATGCCAGCCTGAATCCACGAAGTTATGTAAGAAGCACATTTGTCAACAGGAAGACGAAAGATTCCTACCCAAGGGCCATCACGAAGAAAATTACAGAAAGAATCCCAGTTAGTTTTAAGGTAATTGTAAGGGGTACGATGATAGGGGGATTTTGATGATGAAAAAGAATGAGATATTAGTTTTAGAGAGATCAAACTGTGATCAGTAGCATCTAAAGGTGAATGTGGAGAAACTGAGCACTGGCTAGGATCAGAAACAAGGTATAGGTCGAGTAAAGAAGATAAATTATTCGAGTTGTTAAGAAAGCAAGTTGGAAAGTTGACTATTTCAGTTAGGGATTGTGAAAGGCAAAAGTTGAGGGCCTTCACGCCAGCAGAATCATTGACACTTGACTTGGCTTGACACCAAGCCATTCTGTGTGATGAACATTAAAGTCACCAACAACAACAATATTAAGTGATGGATAAAAAGAGAGGGCTTGGTCAATTTGATCAGAAATAACATCAAAAAGAGAGTATTGAATTGAAGGAGAGCGATATAGAACAAAGAGAAAGACAATAGAGCGAAGTAGTGCTAAACGAAAGCACAAAATAAAAATTGTCTGAGGATTCAAACTTAGTTTCCCAACAAATCGGCGAATTCTTACAAATGTAAATGCCAGGCCAACCATGTTACTATTGGAGTCTTTACAATCAAAGGAAGATAACCATCAACAATAAGATCACAAAATGAGACAGCTAACTCAAATTAGTCTCACAAAGAGCATGTAGGTCTGGTGAACTTTGCAAGAGATAAGAATAAACAGAAGAAAAGTTACTTCGAAGACCACGAATATCAGTGAATGATAGGTTTAGAGAACTTGGTGATGACGATGGTTTTTCGCGTTGTATAGTTTTTAGTACTTTATTTATTTTTAAATTTGTTAAAGAACTTAACTCAAAGCATAGACAGTACTCAGTACACTGTTTAATAGCCCAAGCAATTGCCTCATTACTATTAATAAACCCTATGCCATAACAAAGAGCTCTAATGTGGCCTTGGCAATGCACACCAAAAGTACAAACATGGACATTATCCATGCACAACATGACACTGTTAATACTTTGATATTTTTCAGCTGTTGATGGAATCAGCCTTTCTGCGAGCTACCACAGAGTTTGGGAACTGACTACCAGTCGGCCTCAGAAGCATAAAACAGAGTTATAGAGCTGTACCCTCATTAAGAGATAATAGAATGAGTTTCCTAGTCATAAAAATAGAGACACAAGCAAAAATTTAACATCTGCCCAAATATATATATATATATATATATATATATATATATATATATATATATATATATATATATATATATATATGTATAGATATACATATATACATATATATATATATATATATATATATATATATATATATATATATATATACATATATACATAGTGTTTAGGCTTCAATTATGCTATGTCGTTTACACATTTTTCACATAGCCTTAATTGTTTCATAATACCTTTCTATTCCTGTAAGTTTTTTATGCACTATCCTTATGCGCTTTTTAATTTTGGATATCTGTTACTTTTTAAAATTTGGCTCAGTGGGCTTCGTTCTACCCGCCTCCTCCCTTTTGGTCTCTTATCTTATTGGTGAAATACTTAAAAAATTATTATTAATAAATTTTTGCTTGAATTTTAAACTACTGGACATCTGTCCAACATATATGTAAAAATAATTTTTTTGAAATACTAAAATTAAAACAACCACCCTAAAAAACGAAAATAAAAACAGTATGCAAATTGCTTAAATTAATTTTTTTTTTCTATTTAAATTTATTTCCATTTCCTTTATCAGAGTGGAATAGATAAGTATAGAAATGATTGGTTTGGTAAAGACCCATAATTTATGGGTTCTGATAGCAAGGATATATATATATATATATATATATATATATATATATATATATATATATATATATATATATATATATATATATATATATATATAAGGAAAAAGTATAGAAAAGGTTGATTTACAAAGAGCCGTACTTTTACGGGTCTGGTCAACTAGTTCTAATTGTCATAATCCTTCAACTCTTTATTCTTATTAGCTTTACAAATTGAAATCAATTAGTTTTGTTTCAAAGTCAGATTTAAAAAAATAATTTAAGACAACATTTTTTTATTTATTTATTTTTTCTTTAATAAAAAAAACTTATTAAAGTTTAATGTCTTTTTAATGGCACTTACCTATAGGAGACGATCGCTTGTCCGGTCGATCCCAGTCACGAGTATGCAACTTATACACTTTCCATAAACTCTCCTTTGTATCACTTAACAATAAAACAATTAAGCTATTATAAACTCTCCTTTGTATCACTTAACAATAAAACAATTAAGCTATTATAAACTATTAATTATTAATATTAATTAAACTATTAATATTAATTAAACTATTAATTATTTTGCAACAAATAATCATTCAAAAAGTAAAAAAACAAATACAAATATAATAAAATTAAAATGCTTAATATATTATCAAATAAATCAGTAAAAAGCAAAGAAAAACAAGACCATTTATCAAATCAGAAAATTATTTGTTGCTATTGTTTGAAGAAATGCTTAAAATGAATTTAAGTAAAAAAACTATTAGTCTTACATAAAAATGTATGTAAAGCCTGAATATTTGTGTACAGTTTTTTAACAGATATAATCTATTTTATGATTAATGCAATTTTTTAAATAAAAATCATTTTCTAACAATAATCAGTATTTAAAAATAAACTTACTTTATGTAGACATAGGTCCAACATGCAAAAAGTATGTAAACTTACTGAAAGAAAGTAAAAAAATACCAAGTATAGTTCTTTTTTAGGATCAAAGAGGTTACACATTATTTTAAGTAATCTACTTTCTACAAAATTTTAGTTTAAAAAAACTATTATAACTTTAGGAAAAAGTAAACTCATATGAACTTTATGATGCTATTGCATAAGAAAAAAAATTTGTCACCAGATATGTTAAGAGATTATATTTTTCAATTAACCGAGTTCCTTAGTAATGTCTTACAGAAAGCAAAATTCTTATCAAACGTTAATACAAATTGAAATTGATTTAGGTAAAAATGCCATGAGATGAAGAGATCCTGAACTTAATAATTTTTTCAAACTAAAATTTTGTAGAAGGCAGATAACTTGAAATAATTTGTAACCTCTTTAATCCTGAAAATGAACTATATTTAGTATGTCTTTACTTTCTTTTAGTAAGTTATCATACTTTTTGCATGTTGGACGTAAAGTATATGTGAGTACAAAACTTTTTAAACTATCAAAATAAACAAAAAGAACAATTAATAAAAAATCACATTACCTGTTTAAATTATGATTTTCTAATAAAAAATCCCTCAATTTTGCAAACATATCATCAACATCTTGAGGTCTATTCAAATCTAATCCAGGCCCAACTAACTAAAAAAAATCTAATCAATTATTTCTAAATATTTAGATTAAATTAAAAAAATATGTAAATGTATTTAAAACACATAAACTTAAGACTGAAAAAGAAAGATATATATTCAAGTGCCTTGAGTGCCTCAAGTGTCTAGACTCCATTAAAAAAAAAATAACAAAATAAAAACAACAATAACTCTGCAATAGGGGGTGAAAACTTAGCAAACTACTTATTGGGACAAATTAAGTCATCAGATTAAAAAATATTGGCTTATTATTTTTTACCAATCACCAATGGAAGTAAAAAATTGGAATTAAAAACTTTTTTTAGTTGAATCTTAGTTAATTTACTGATAAACTAAGAATTCTTTTTTTTTAGTTTTTTCGTTCTATCAATTAAAATCGAATTGATAGAACGAAAAAAAAAAATGAAATTAGAAATGCTATTCTAAAGTAAAACTAAAGCAAGTCATTTTCAGTGTTAAATCTTTTAAATTTGAATTACCTTTTATTAAAACTAAAGCAAGTCATTTTCAGTGTTAAATCTTTTAAATTTGAATTACCTTTTATTAAAACTAAAGCAAGTCATTTTCAGTGTTAAATCTTTTAAATTTGAATTACCTTTTATTAAAACTAAAGCAAGTCATTTTCAGTGTTAAATCTTTTAAATTTGAATTACCTTTTATTAAAACTAAAGCAAGTCATTTTCAGTGTTAAATCTTTTAAATTTGAATTACCTTTTATTAAAACTAAAGCAAGTCATTTTCAGTGTTAAATCTTTTAAATTTGAATTACCTTTTATTAAAACTAAAGCAAGTCATTTTCAGTGTTAAATCTTTTAAATTTGAATTACCTTTTATTAAAACTAAAGCAAGTCATTTTCAGTGTTAAATCTTTTAAATTTGAATTACCTTTTATTAAAACTAAAGCAAGTCATTTTCAGTGTTAAATCTTTTAAATTTGAATTACCTTTTATTAAAACTAAAGCAAGTCATTTTCAGTGTTAAATCTTTTAAATTTGAATTACCTTTTATTAAAACTAAAGCAAGTCATTTTCAGTGTTAAATCTTTTAAATTTGAATTACCTTTTATTAAAACTAAAGCAAGTCATTTTCAGTGTTAAATCTTTTAAATTTGAATTACCTTTTATTAAAACTAAAGCAAGTCATTTTCAGTGTTAAATCTTTTAAATTTGAATTACCTTTTATTAAAACTAAAGCAAGTCATTTTCAGTGTTAAATCTTTTAAATTTGAATTACCTTTTATTAAAACTAAAGCAAGTCATTTTCAGTGTTAAATCTTTTAAATTTGAATTACCTTTTATTAAAACTAAAGCAAGTCATTTTCAGTGTTAAATCTTTTAAATTTGAATTACCTTTTATTAAAACTAAAGCAAGTCATTTTCAGTGTTAAATCTTTTAAATTTGAATTACCTTTTATTAAAACTAAAGCAAGTCATTTTCAGTGTTAAATCTTTTAAATTTGAATTACCTTTTATTAAAACTAAAGCAAGTCATTTTCAGTGTTAAATCTTTTTAAATTTGAATTACCTTTTATTAAAACTAAAGCAAGTCATTTTCAGTGTTAAATCTTTTAAATTTGAATTACCTTTTATTAAAACTAAAGCAAGTCATTTTCAGTGTTAAATCTTTTAAATTTGAATTACCTTTTATTAAAACTAAAGCAAGTCATTTTCAGTGTTAAATCTTTTAAATTTGAATTACCTTTTATTTAAAACTAAAGCAAGTCATTTTCAGTGTTAAATCTTTTAAATTTGAATTACCTTTTATTAAAACTAAAGCAAGTCATTTTCAGTGTTAAATCTTTTAAATTTGAATTACCTTTTATTAAAACTAAAGCAAGTCATTTTCAGTGTTAAATCTTTTAAATTTGAATTACCTTTTATTAAAACTAAAGCAAGTCATTTTCAGTGTTAAATCTTTTAAATTTGAATTACCTTTTATTAAAACTAAAGCAAGTCATTTTCAGTGTTAAATCTTTTAAATTTGAATTACCTTTTATTAAAACTAAAGCAAGTCATTTTCAGTGTTAAATCTTTTAAATTTGAATTACCTTTTATTAAAACTAAAGCAAGTCATTTTCAGTGTTAAATCTTTTAAATTTGAATTACCTTTTATTAAAACTAAAGCAAGTCATTTTCAGTGTTAAATCTTTTAAATTTGAATTACCTTTTATTAAAACTAAAGCAAGTCATTTTCAGTGTTAAATCTTTTAAATTTGAATTACCTTTTATTAAAACTAAAGCAAGTCATTTTCAGTGTTAAATCTTTTAAATTTGAATTACCTTTTATTAAAACTAAAGCAAGTCATTTTCAGTGTTAAATCTTTTAAATTTGAATTACCTTTTATTAAAACTAAAGCAAGTCATTTTCAGTGTTAAATCTTTTAAATTTGAATTACCTTTTATTAAAACTAAAGCAAGTCATTTTCAGTGTTAAATCTTTTAAATTTGAATTACCTTTTATTAAAACTAAAGCAAGTCATTTTCAGTGTTAAATCTTTTAAATTTGAATTACCTTTTATTAAAACTAAAGCAAGTCATTTTCAGTGTTAAATCTTTTAAATTTGAATTACCTTTTATTAAAACTAAAGCAAGTCATTTTCAGTGTTAAATCTTTTAAATTTGAATTACCTTTTATTAAAACTAAAGCAAGTCATTTTCAGTGTTAAATCTTTTAAATTTGAATTACCTTTTATTAAAACTAAAGCAAGTCATTTTCAGTGTTAAATCTTTTAAATTTGAATTACCTTTTATTAAAACTAAAGCAAGTCATTTTCAGTGTTAAATCTTTTAAATTTGAATTACCTTTTATTAAAACTAAAGCAAGTCATTTTCAGTGTTAAATCTTTTAAATTTGAATTACCTTTTATTAAAACTAAAGCAAGTCATTTTCAGTGTTAAATCTTTTAAATTTGAATTACCTTTTATTAAAACTAAAGCAAGTCATTTTCAGTGTTAAATCTTTTAAATTTGAATTACCTTTTATTAAAACTAAAGCAAGTCATTTTCAGTGTTAAATCTTTTAAATTTGAATTACCTTTTATTAAAACTAAAGCAAGTCATTTTCAGTGTTAAATCTTTTAAATTTGAATTACCTTTTATTAAAACTAAAGCAAGTCATTTTCAGTGTTAAATCTTTTAAATTTGAATTACCTTTTATTAAAACTAAAGCAAGTCATTTTCAGTGTTAAATCTTTTAAATTTGAATTACCTTTTATTAAAACTAAAGCAAGTCATTTTCAGTGTTAAATCTTTTAAATTTGAATTACCTTTTATTAAAACTAAAGCAAGTCATTTTCAGTGTTAAATCTTTTAAATTTGAATTACCTTTTATTAAAACTAAAGCAAGTCATTTTCAGTGTTAAATCTTTTAAATTTGAATTACCTTTTATTAAAACTAAAGCAAGTCATTTTCAGTGTTAAATCTTTTAAATTTGAATTACCTTTTATTAAAACTAAAGCAAGTCATTTTCAGTGTTAAATCTTTTAAATTTGAATTACCTTTTATTAAAACTAAAGCAAGTCATTTTCAGTGTTAAATCTTTTAAATTTGAATTACCTTTTATTAAAACTAAAGCAAGTCATTTTCAGTGTTAAATCTTTTAAATTTGAATTACCTTTTATTAAAACTAAAGCAAGTCATTTTCAGTGTTAAATCTTTTAAATTTGAATTACCTTTTATTAAAACTAAAGCAAGTCATTTTCAGTGTTAAATCTTTTAAATTTGAATTACCTTTTATTAAAACTAAAGCAAGTCATTTTCAGTGTTAAATCTTTTAAATTTGAATTACCTTTTATTAAAACTAAAGCAAGTCATTTTCAGTGTTAAATCTTTTAAATTTGAATTACCTTTTATTAAAACTAAAGCAAGTCATTTTCAGTGTTAAATCTTTTAAATTTGAATTACCTTTTATTAAAACTAAAGCAAGTCATTTTCAGTGTTAAATCTTTTAAATTTGAATTACCTTTTATTAAAACTAAAGCAAGTCATTTTCAGTGTTAAATCTTTTAAATTTGAATTACCTTTTATTAAAACTAAAGCAAGTCATTTTCAGTGTTAAATCTTTTAAATTTGAATTACCTTTTATTAAAACTAAAGCAAGTCATTTTCAGTGTTAAATCTTTTAAATTTGAATTACCTTTTATTAAAACTAAAGCAAGTCATTTTCAGTGTTAAATCTTTTAAATTTGAATTACCTTTTATTAAAACTAAAGCAAGTCATTTTCAGTGTTAAATCTTTTAAATTTGAATTACCTTTTATTAAAACTAAAGCAAGTCATTTTCAGTGTTAAATCTTTTAAATTTGAATTACCTTTTATTAAAACTAAAGCAAGTCATTTTCAGTGTTAAATCTTTTAAATTTGAATTACCTTTTATTAAAACTAAAGCAAGTCATTTTCAGTGTTAAATCTTTTAAATTTGAATTACCTTTTATTAAAACTAAAGCAAGTCATTTTCAGTGTTAAATCTTTTAAATTTGAATTACCTTTTATTAAAACTAAAGCAAGTCATTTTCAGTGTTAAATCTTTTAAATTTGAATTACCTTTTATTAAAACTAAAGCAAGTCATTTTCAGTGTTAAATCTTTTAAATTTGAATTACCTTTTATTAAAACTAAAGCAAGTCATTTTCAGTGTTAAATCTTTTAAATTTGAATTACCTTTTATTAAAACTAAAGCAAGTCATTTTCAGTGTTAAATCTTTTAAATTTGAATTACCTTTTATTAAAACTAAAGCAAGTCATTTTCAGTGTTAAATCTTTTAAATTTGAATTACCTTTTATTAAAACTAAAGCAAGTCATTTTCAGTGTTAAATCTTTTAAATTTGAATTACCTTTTATTAAAACTAAAGCAAGTCATTTTCAGTGTTAAATCTTTTAAATTTGAATTACCTTTTATTAAAACTAAAGCAAGTCATTTTCAGTGTTAAATCTTTTAAATTTGAATTACCTTTTATTAAAACTAAAGCAAGTCATTTTCAGTGTTAAATCTTTTAAATTTGAATTACCTTTTATTAAAACTAAAGCAAGTCATTTTCAGTGTTAAATCTTTTAAATTTGAATTACCTTTTATTAAAACTAAAGCAAGTCATTTTCAGTGTTAAATCTTTTAAATTTGAATTACCTTTTATTAAAACTAAAGCAAGTCATTTTCAGTGTTAAATCTTTTAAATTTGAATTACCTTTTATTAAAAGGTAATTTAAATTTAAAAAGAAGACAGCAGCAGCAATTCTAAAACAAAAATTAGTTGTAAAATGAGGTTAAACATTATTGTGTTTATAATAACAAGATAATCAGATGCAGTCTATGCAAAATCATGTGAAGTCCTCAAAAGGAATCTCATTTTAAAAATTATAAATGACTATTTGTTCCAGAAACTCCAAAAATGATAAGACTTTAGAATACATTATGATAAAAATAAATTAGATTTTAAGTTCGAAAACTGAACTTTTTTTAGCATGGATTTTCTAAGTCTCTGTGCACATTTTTAGAATACATTATGATAAAAATAAATTAGATTTTAAGTTTGAAAACTGAACTTTTTTTAGCATGGATTTTCTAAGTCTCTGTGCACATTTTTAGAATACATTATGATAAAAATAAATTAGATTTTAAGTTCGAAAACTGAACTTTTTTTAGCATGGATTTTCTAAGTCTCTGTGCACATTTTTAGAATACATTATGATAAAAATAAATTAGATTTTAAGTTCGAAAACTGAACTTTGTTTAGCATGGATTTTCTAAGTCACCATTTTACATAAGAACTTCAGATTTAAAATTGATGTTTCAGAAATCGAGCAGCTGGAAAGAGGCTGCTGCACAGAGATACAAGGTGAGTCAAGTACCTTTAGGGACAAAAAACTTTAGCTAAACATGATTTTATATAATGAATTATATAAACTAGAAAAAGAAAGCTTACCACACTCACTTCTTGGGGTCACTGTATCTCAAAAGCCTTAACTCTTAGTCACTGTATCTCAAAAGCCTTAACTCTTAGTCAAAGGAGCTAGGACCCCTTGTTGGTATGGAATGATGTGCTATAAAGTGAGATATTAAATCATAGTCAGCAAGTACTGATACAATGTGCATTGTGGAGCTTCCAAATGAAAATGTGTGCAAGTTTAACATACTAATAAGGTTATTAAGCGCCATAAAGACATACATTTTAATGTTATATGATAGTTACCATAGTTACATATCATAGTTAAGCTGATCTATATAATTATCTCACCTAATCATTAGTGTTTTTTTTTGTTTGTTTTTTTTAAAAAAAAAAACTTCCACAAACAAAATAATTTCTGTACTTTCACATATCAGAAGTAGTTGTCTGATGTCAACTTAAAATTGTTTTCCAACATTTTTTTTACAAATGTGATGTTTTATAAACTTACAAAAAAATCTGTCTAACAAAATGTATTATAATGTCATATATAAAATTTATAAACAAATTATAAACATTACACAATAATATTTAATAAAAAACAAGAGTAACTACCTTTAATAGAAGAGTCATTGTATTTAACATTATTTCATTTTTTGATTCCAAAAACATATCAACAAATTTAAATACAGCACTTTTAAAAGCTGGATTAAAATTAGGTTTGTTGTCTTTTATTAGCTAAAAGAACAAGAGTTTGAAACATTTGCAACTAAACAATAGAATTTACCATTATATTTATTATAATTAATATATGTTGTAATGTTACTACAAGATACTTACAAGAGAGACTTTTTTTTTAACTTTATTATTAAAAACTAAAAACATTTTGCCAGAAATTTAATTTTCAATAATATTTAAATCATAAAACTCAAATATGTTTTTACCTAGGAATAAGATTTTTTATTAACAATAAAAATTTTAAAAACCCTCCATAGGTATACTATTTCTGGCTACACAGCAGATAAAAGAACTTGCAAAACAAGAGTAATGCTATTCTTTGTCTAAGAAATTTTTTCAATACCAAAATTATCAAACATATTGTAAAAAGAAGAAACAGCCTTTTAACAACAATTTAATAAAAACTTCAAAGCAATAAAGTTTATTACTTTATTTAGCATATTTCACATCTATATAATGATCTTCCTGACAATCTTATATCTACAGTAGCTCTGTAGATATAAAACTGTCAGGAAGAACATGTTGCTACTGTAGAAATAAGACAACAGTTTATGGCTTGTCAATAAGACTATATTTTATCTACAGGCTTGCAGTGATTCATATTTTAGCAAAATTGCATCTTTTTACTGTATATATTCTTTCATGCTCTAAAAACTTTTATTTGTCTAAATTTTTCCCTACTCATCTACTTTACAGTTTTTAAAGTCAATCATTTGTCAATCTGTTATTTTCTTATTCTTTAACTATTGACTTTTTCTACTGTTCTTTTTTAATTTTCACTATTTAAGGTTGCTTGCAGCCTTGTTGGGAGTCTTGTTGTTTTGCAGTTTTAAAAAAATTATTTAATTTATAAACTTGTGAAAAAATTGTATATTAAAATAATAATAAAGAAATGGAGGAAACAATGTGTTCTTATGTTGTAATATCTACATGTGTTACAAATTTTTATTCATTTTAAATTATTTTCTCATAAAATCTAAACCCACTTGCCAGTCAGCTTTGAAATTTGTGCATTAGAAATTCTTAGGTACACCTACCAAGCTGGATCACTTATCTAGCATAAGGTGCTTTGTACATATACCTTACCCTAAAACCTTATGAAAGAGATCAGATTTAAGATCACTTGCCTGTTCTGATCAAAAAGTGATGTCTTGACTGGAGTATATAATTGTGTTGTCAGCAAATAGAGCTACTTTGATGTAAGATTGTTAGGAAGATCATTAATATAGACGAGAAATATAGGACAAATGATGAAACATTTTGGTACTCCACATTTATCAGAAATAAAAAATTGACTGCAAGAATGACTTTAATACTGTGGTTAGAAAAAAATGATTCAACAGAACGACTTTAATACTGCAGTTAGAAATAAAGGACTCAATAGTTTTAAAAACTTTCCCAGGTAAACCATATGAAGTAAGCTTACGGAGAACACTAGCATGCCAGATTTTACCTAAACCCTTAGATATATCAAGTGCAAAACCCCTGGCAACTCCGACTCCACAGTCCTGGATAAAACAATTTTTTAATCTGTTCTTATAACTCTTACCTATCTTTATATTTTCCTCTTATATACAACCTTCCAATTTTTTAGTCTTCAGTTAACCATTTCCTAGCTTTTTCTATTTTAAAGTAACTCATAACTTATTAGTAGTTAGTAACTTAGTAGTAGATTTCATGTCTTAATATGACCACGCAAAAAAAAAAAAATGTTTTAACAATTTGACCACGGCATATTTTTAAAATTTAAAAATGCGCTACAAAAACTTACCTAAACTTATCTGAAAAAAAAATTTAAAAAAATAATAAATATTAACGAAAGAGAAAATAAAAAAAAATACTTAGTTTAAGCAAAAACACAAAAAAATAAATATATATATATATAACGCAACTAAAACAAAACTCATCAAACTAAAATGCTTAGTCTATTTAATTTATGCATTAAAAAACCTTTTCAGTCTTTGTTTCGATATTTTTATATATTTTTTATTTGTTTAATATGTTCAAAAGTTAAATGTATATAGGGTGCAGATAGATTGAATCAGGTCTCTCTTGACTTTTTTTGGTAAATTGATAATTTTTTTCTCTTTTTGTTTGTAATGGAGTGTTAAATTGTCTTACAACATCTCCAGATTCATTAAAAAACTTACACAAAAAATAGCATTCTTAGGCACTGAAGTACTGAAAAAGCCATAGTAGTTATAACTAGCTTTAAGATTGTGCAATTATAGGGTGAATCTGAAGAAGCATGAGATAATGTTTTTGTGGGATCGTAGCATGATCTATACCACCTAAAAGAGAACAAGGAGAAACTAAGCAAAAGCTAGAATCAGAAACAATATAGAAAAAAGTCAATCAAAATTGACTTTTTTCGACCAAGGTCAATTTGATCAAAAACATCAAAATAAATGCAGCCTTTAAAAGAAGAAATACAATAAAGAACAAAAAAAAAAGAGATTGGGTGAAAAGATGCTAAACAAAAGCATATTAAAAAAATAGTAGGTGGTTTAAACCTAATTTCATGACAAGTAGGTGATAATAATTACATGGTCAGACCAAGAACGTGACCATCTATTTAACATCTAATCTATCTATCTAACATCTTTGGCTTGTTTCTGAAATAGTTGTTTTTGTAAGAAAGACAAAAATAATAGTTACGATTAGATATAGAAGCTGGACAATAATGTGAAAACCATGAAATAGAATGAGACTTGAATTGAAACCAACCAGAAGGAATAGGAAAAAAGAAAGAACAAAGAAAAGTTGATTGAGTGAAGAGGTGCTAAGTGGAAACACATAAAAAAAATTGTCAGAGGATTCAAACCTGATTTTGCGAAAGAAAATACCCAAGCATAGAGTCTTGTGAATCAAAGGATAATAACTATCAACACTGAGGTCTGAAGATGAAACATCTGAATTAAAATTAGTTTCACTAAAAGCAAATAACTCTGATAAACTTTGCAAGAAGTATGATTCAGATATATTGAAACAATTGTTGTGATGTTTTAATATTTTAAAGTATTTTAGTTATGTTTTAAGTTATTAGAGAATAAAAATTAGTCAATCTTGTCAAAAAAATTAAAAAGAAATTACCAATCCAAGACGGGCTAATACCTACATCTCATTTAGATTTAAGAATGATTTAAGATTGATTGGAAACAGATTGCTCAGATATTTTTTTTTGGAAAGATCTTGTATAGATATTGTTTTATTATTAATTGGCTTAAGTTATTATTAGTTGTATTATTAATTATTACTTTATATATAGTTAGGAGATTTGATAAAAATGGATAAAATTAAGAAAAAAATTACTTTCATATTGACAAGAAGTTCCCCAAACCATAATGCACAATTTGTAATCTTCTTTACTTGTTCTGTACTTTCACGGTCAGTTGCAAATATTTGCTCCATTTTTTTAAAATCTTCTTGACATCTAAAAAAAGAAAAGTGAAAACAAGTTTTCATCATTTTTTAATCAAAACACTGGTGTAAAACCCTTTTTTTGAAAAACTTACTTTTTTCATAGTTCTAATCTCTCTCAAATGTCTCAGGGGTGAAGTATCTTAAATTTTAAAAATTTTACTTATATATCAGCACATACTTCACTAAAGCCAACACATGTTCCAATCAAAATGTTTTTAAGTATACAATTAAGTTTTGAACAAATAATGATTATCTAATTAACATTTTAAAGTTGGTATACAATATTTAAAAAGTTCAAAAAATAACAGACAAAGCATTTTTTTAAATAGTACAATTTTTTTAACAATATATGATCACAAATTTATATTACTTTATATTAGATCACATTAGTATTTTGTAGGGTATCTTTTACAATAAAGAATGGCTTGGCATCTATGAGGCATAGAGTCAACTAAATGAATGCAAGCGTCAATGGGAATCGAGTCCCATATTTCTTTGGTTTCATTAAATAAATCAGCATGATTTGTAGGCTTGAATCCTTTCATTTGGTGGTCAACATATTCCCATAGATGTTTAATGAGATTTAAATCAGGTGATTGGGATAGCCACTTCAAAACATTAATTTTACTTTATTTGAAAAACTGTATGTTTCGGATTGTTATCCTGTGTATATATCCATCCTTGAGGCATTTTATCCTTTACAAAAGGTAATTTACATTATAGTCTTACATATACCTTTGTACTTTTCTTGATTTACAGCCTTAGTAATTCTATGGGGAGGATCATTACCTCCTCCATGTTTTATGGTAGGTAGTTGGTACTTAGGATCGTATCTTGTACCAACTGGATATCGAACATACCCAAACAGCATAAACTTGCTTTCGTCACTAAAAAGAATTTTTGACCATTGTTGACTACTCTACTTTAGATGTTCTGATGCAAATTCCTTTTGGGTGTTACAGTTTTTCAAGAAAAGTAATTGTTTTTTAGCTGGGTGTCTTCCAAACAAATTAGTGTGACATAAACGACGTTTTATATTAGAAATACTACAATTCAATCCATAGAAACATTTGTACATTTATATCGACAGCCGTCAAAAGAGGATTTTCTTTGCTTAATATCATGAGCTTTTTATAGTGATAATATATTGTTTTGTGTAACATTCCTCTTCCTGATTAATTTTTATTTTTTGTAGATCTAGTAAGCTCATATCTCTTCATAGTTTGTACAACAACAGATTTACCAACTCCATAAAGCTGTGCTGTTTTACGAAACGAATTTCCATTTTGAACTGATTGAAAAGATCAATTTTTTCACTAAAGATGAGACAAATTTCTTAGATCTCATGATCTCAATTACTTATAAATAAAGTTTGTAAATTATTTGCACTAATTATTTGTTTATAAAATCAACAAATTAGCAATTTTGTGGGGGGACATGTTAAAATCTTTAATTTATCCACAAACTTTTGAACTTATCAAAAATTGTTATTTTGTAAACCAATTTCAAAATGCTAATTAAATAATCATTATTTGTTCAAAACATAATTGTTAACCTGAAAACCTTTTATTTGGTATATAATATGATGGCTTAAGTGGTTTATGGGCTGAAATATTTGTAAAATTTAATTTTTTTTATGCCTGTCTGCAAACTTTTGGGTGCTGCTGTATGTATGTATATATATATATATATATATATATATATATATACATATATATATATATATATATATATATATATATATATATAATATATATATATATATATATATATATATATATATATATATATATATATATATATATATATATATATATATAAATAATTAAAAACGAAAAAAGAAAAAACTTTTTCTTTTTTCGTTTTTAATTATAAACCGCTCTGTTATGAAATTTATATATAATCAAAATAAATTTCTTAAATATTGAGCACTTTTCAACGAACAAGAGTTGTGTATTATTTTAATACAACACTACATAAAACTATATATATATATATATATATATATATATATATTATATATATATATATATATATATATTAGTGATGTACCGATTAATCGGCATTGATTAATTGCCAGAATCAATCAATATCAAATCGGAATCGGCCTGTTTTCAATACTTTACCGATTTTCCAACTGCTGGTTGGAAAATCGATTTTAACACTTTTAACCTGCATTATGATAATAATTAAAAATAAATAAATTAAACTTTATGCATTGCTTAGAATTTTTTGAAGAAATTATTTATTTTGACTTTGTTTACAGGCAATATAGTTTATTTTTAAGATGATGTTTATAAGCTTTAAAATAACAGCTGAGTGTACTTTTACTTTTATTACCATAATGTTATTTTTAGAATTATTTTATTCTGTGTTGTTCTACTGTTATACTTAAAAGTAACCTATTTAAGCATTGTTATCTATGTGTTTAAGTATAGCCTACTATATTTCTATATTTTTACTTTTTTTTTTATTTCAACTCTCCTCATCAAGGCCACTCCAATCAATGAGGCTACTTTAGTTATGGTTACAACCCTCTCTCAACTTCGAAACACAAACCTTATTGAATAAGGCTACTTTGCTGAGAAACAAGTTGAGCAAGGTACTACCAGGGACGTGGTGGGGATTGAACATAACAAATTAAAATTTAAAAATAATTTAAATATCTAAATAACATATGTTACAAAATAGTTGTTTATATATCTTAACTACTAATAAATTAATAAAGAATTATAAGTAAACTGCTTAATTAAATTTATTCTTGTCTTGATAAGAAGCCAACAATTTCTGATTGCTTGGTGGGAACATTTGAGCTTGAAAAGCATCATTTTTGGAAACCATAGCCTGCTACAATAATATATATATATATATATATATATATATATATATATATATATATATATATATATATATATATATATATATATATATATATATATATATATATATATATATATATATATATATCAGGGGCTATTCTAGACCATTTTTGACAGCGCCGACCGTATTTGAGTACCATCCATATTGAAATTTGAGGACCTTTTTTTTTTTCACATTTTTATCAGGGACATTTCAGTGTACCTGTTAATTTTTTGTCGCCGTAAGCATGATTTTTTTGTAAAAAAAAATGTACTTGTAAGAAACTTTTATAGAAAACTAAAAGTACATACATCAACTGACAAATAGCCTGACTCGCAAGGGAGTGCTGCTACTTCGACTACGGGTTTGGTTTGGCCAAGCATCAAGGTTAGGCTTAGGGTTAGGGTTACGGCAAGGTTTAAATTTGGTTATATCATTGTAACTAATCGTTTTTGTAAATAGATGAAGTTAAAAATGAAATATAATAAAAAATAAATAAATAAAAATAACAAAAATTAATACAAAAAAATATATTTTTATAATAAAAAAATAAATTTAAATATGTATAAATAAAAAAAGAAATAAAATAAAAATTATAACTGTATAATTGTATAGTTAAAAAAAATATTATTAAATTGTTTATAATGTTAGTGCTGAAATAAAACTTAATACATACCGATGCATAAAAATCTTTCGAAAAGAAGGACCATCTTTTATGTCAATGGCTTTTGTCTTATCAAAATGGTTGCATAACTTTGCAGCAAAAAATTGAAAACTTAATGAAGCTAAAGCCTGCAAAATAAATTACAAAACCTTTTTTAGTTGTAAGATTTTTTAATTCATCTTTAAAAACTAATACTCACTAATACTGTCTCTCTCTCTTTTAAAAAATTTGACCCCTTTGTGTCAAATTTTTATTGCCGAGCTGATATATATATATATGTATATATATATATAAATATGTATGTATGTATGTATGTATGTATGTATGTATGTATGTATGTATGTATGTATGTATGTATGTATATATATGTATATATATATATATATATATATATATATATATATATATATATATATATATATATACATATATATATATATATATATATGTATGTATATATATATATATATATATATATATATATATATATATATATATATATATATATATATATGTATGTATGTATGTATGTAAGTATGTATGTGTATATATATATATATATATATATATATATATATATATATATATGTACATATCTTATACTGCTGAGTTAGGTGAGCATGATGATGTCATACTCACCTAACGTCAAATAGCCTGCTGCTGGGGGCTTCAGTACATACATCGACTGACAAATAGCCTGACTCGCAGTGGAGTGCTGCTACATCGACTGAGGGTTTGGTATGGGTCAGCAACCTTTTCATTCATTATTCTTCGTTTTCCCTCATCGTTTTCTAAAAACGCTCACTTAATTTAGGCTAGCAAAAAAAGTGAGCAATTGCGCATATAAATATGCTATAGTGTGTATATATATATATATATATATATATATATATATATATATATATATATATATATACATATATATATATATATATATATATATATATATATATATATATATATATATATATATATATATATATGTATATATATATATATATATATATATATATATATATATATATATATATATATATATATATATATATATATATATGTATATATATATATATATATCAGGCCTTGTGATGAAGCGGGAGCGTCATCACAAGGCCTCAAATCGTCATCATCTGAAGAACTTGCGAGGGAGAAAATGTATGGGTTCGATCATATTCTATTGATTAATGACAATTATATTTAAAATTCAAAAAAATCAAAATATTGGAATATCAAATATTTTTTATTAAAGTTTAAACAAAGGTCTATTTATTAAATAGGTTAATACTAAACGCAACTAAAAATTAAAAAAAAGGTTCAATAAACAAGACGTATAACAAATATATTTGTTATATAAATTTGAATTGAAACTTTTAGAAGTTCACAATCAACAAAAGAAAAATTGTAACTTGACTAGTTTCACAAAGGCATTTGTCAAAATATACATCAGTATATAAGTTATTTATATATTATATTTGTATAAGTATATATATACAAATATATATTATATATATAATTATAAGTCTATTATATATTAGGTACAAAAATAAGCATATAAAATATTATTATAATAATTAAATAATATTATAATAATTAAATGGAGCATTCAGTTTAAATTAGAAAGCAGTTTTCTGTTTTGTGCAAATAATGAATGAAATGTTTTGAAGTCATTACTGCTAACAGATAGAATGGAATGTTTACTATTTTCATGTTTCGCTTCAATGAGAAGTCCACAAGATTTTTGCTTTATTATTTTTAAATGTTTACACATCTTATGTAAATAAAAGAAACATTCTTAATCTTTTTATTTTTATTTTTAACTATTGTTTGTTTTAAATTAAAATAAAAACATTTCTATTGTTTAGAATGTCCGCAATCAAGCATGTTAATTCAACTCCAATAAAAAGCAAAGTTATGTATTTAACTTTTAGTAAATGGCGATATTTCATTGTTTTTATTTATTATCAAAGCTTCAGTAACTTATTTTTTCCTGTAAATTGACAAATTAACTAAAAAACCAAAGCTTTTTTATCTGATTTCTCAGACTTCACATGAAAAAAAAATCAAACAAAAAATTGTCCACCCTTTTCCTTGTATGCACTGGTATGCTTTTGAGTGACCCCCTCCCAATACTTGCGTACATAATTTTTGGCCTTTTGGAAATTGGTTGTCATGGCCCCATGACAACCAATTTCCAACTCTGAATACGCTCTTGAAGACTTGATGAGAGCAATATTCAGAGTTGTCATCAACACATTATTAACAAGCGCACATAATCTTGTTGATAACATGTTTCAGTATTATGAGCACGAAAAATCGTGCTGAGCAATTTTGTTTACCACATGCACTGATATATATATATATATATATATATATATATATATATATATATATATATATATATATACATATATATATATATATATATATATATATATATATATATATATATATATATATATATATATATATATATATATATATATATATATATATATATTAGGGTGATCCTGCTGCCCCATAGTTTTTTAAATTTTTGAGTAAACAAGCCTGTTTTTTTTTTTTTTTTTTGGTGAGGAGGATACTTCCAACTAAAAACTAGGAAAAATTTGAACATAATTGGGCAATGTTTGGTGGTAGCAGATTTTAATCAAAGTATTCTATTTGGGTACAAAAATTGAAAATTTTCAATTTTTAGCATACAAATCTAATAACTTATATTTTTTACTAATCTAATTTATAGGAGATTTTTGGTATGAAAGAGTAGGATTTTTTAAAAAAAGAATTAGGTGTGCTATTTAGGGAGAGACGGTAAAAAAAGGGGAGGGGTGGTTATTTATTTTACACAAATTTAAAAAAAAATGTTTAATAAGTTAAAGATTTTAACATTAAATTTAAAATATAAAGTAAAGTTCAAATATTAACAAAAAACAAAATGCTATAATAACATTTACATGTGTAACAATATCAAAAGTAACACTTCTAAATAAAAAATAGAAAAAATAAACAATCTGATCAGAATTTAATGTATCATCTGATTGGTTCTAAGTGCCTTTTTTTTGGTTGGACAACATATTTCTGTTGTTTTCTACAACTTGTATAATGTTTTGGAACTTATTTACTTTCTTAGCAGTTCCCGCAAAGTCACTACAAAGTTTTACTCCACGTTCAGCAGAATCGTTTACAACACATAAACTAGAAACCACATTTTTTGAAGCTAGAAAATTTTCGTTTTTTTTGCCATTCTGTAACCGCTTCCCTGAAAAAACTACTATTTATATTTAATATGGTGAAAAATACTGGTGAGTCTTTTTTAACCAATTAAATTATTCACAATCATTTTAGGAACCATTGGAAATATAGGTTTACCAAACCCTGACCCTTTCCTTTTTTAAAGTTATTTCATTCAATGTCTTATAATTTTTTAGTGATAGTATTTTATTTGCAATCTTTGGTTCCTGCTTGTCCTCTAGGTTATTATTAAATAGAGACAGTGGAGCTAACTCCTCAGTGAGATACCACATGTGATCGCTGAAAACTTTCAGAGCAGCATTAGCAATAAATAAATCAATAACTTTATACTCTAATAACGAATTAATATGATTTATATAGTTAGTAGGAGCTACTGAAGATATAGGTACACTAAGCCACCATGGAATACAACAAAATACAACAAACTGAACAATCCTTTGTAGCTTAGGGAATTATTGTAGAGCAAGAATTGTTCCTTTAGGGAGCTGGCTGATTTTTTTGTTCAACAGTGCAAGTTTTATAGAATATAACAATTTTGCCATCCATCTTGCATTGTGAAAAGCACCTGGCCTAATAAACCCAGAGAATACCACATTTTGCCCATTGCTTAGATACAACAACATTAGTTGAACAAGTTCTCTATAATCATCTCTGCTGAAGTTTTGCCTCATTGCTTCTTGGCAAAGATTGGTAATGGCATCTTTTTTGTTAATCAAAGACTGTGAAATTTGAGGGATGTCAAGGTCTTCAATAGTTTGGCAATTCAGATGTTCAAAGTTTTTCTTAAATCTAAAAACCAATTGTTATTTTAATTTTAAATAATAATAAAACATTTGACTAAATATGTAGATTACCTTAAAAATAGACTGATATTAGGACCTTTTGAAACCTCTATCTCCAAACTGTTCCATACATGAGTTAGTATAATCTCTCCTATGTGATGTTGGCAAGCAAGCCACAGAAGTGGTCTGTTTAATACATTTTGCATTGAAACACAGCTTGCCGTTATATCCACAGTATTTGATGCTGTTGTCTCAAAAACCATGCCAGCCACACAATCTGTGCAGTTCCAATTTTTTAGTAATTCATGTTGCCTTAGAAACCACTGGATCCATCTTCTCTGCGGACTTATATAACAGTGCTAGTATACCCAGTAATTTTACACCTGAACAATCTAAAAATAAATATTTTTGAAATAAAAACAATTTTAACTGACTTAGTAACAAGTCTATTAACTAATATGTAAATTGTTCATTAGTTCCTAATATTACATGAGTTGGCTTGCCCAAGTATTAATTTTATAGCTGCCTAAAAGAAGAATAGGAAACCTTTCCCTAACATTTTTGTTGTCAAGTGAATCCATTAACTTGCTATCCCAATACGCTAACTTTTAGAGATTTCCAGGAGCTCTTTATCTTGGCAGCAATTGTCTGCACACACTCCATTTTGTTCCTAGTAGGTTTAAGGTAAAAAATGCAAAAGTAAAAACATTGATGACTGAATTATACTTTTGGATCCATCCAAAATAAAATTAACTGAAAATTAAAAGTATCTAAAGTAATTAAAAGTATCTAAAGATAAAAAAAAATTAAAAGTATCTAAAATATTTCTATTACAATAGAAAGTAATATTTCAAACAAAACAAGAAATTTCTATTTTAATCTATTTCTATTATAATTAATAATAATAATAATTATATATATATATATATATATATATATATATATATATATATATATATATATATATATATATATATATATATATATATATATAATCGGGAGCGATCGCTCTTGATTGCTGACCACATAAATATTTAGTTGCGAAAAGCTGGCCAGATTTTTTAGTCGTTTTGAGAACATTTTAACAAGCAAAAAAAAAAAAAAGCGCAAAAGATTAATTGGACCGATAAGAGACAATTACAAAAAAAAAATTAGGCAAATAAAATATCTTTAAACGCGAAAAAACTTAAAACTAAATAAATTACGTTTAGAACAAATATTTTTAAAAAATACATTACGATAAAAAACCGATCAACAAAATTACACTTACATAGAGAAACATCGCTTTTATAATTTTTTTTATAAAGTTAAGCGATGTTTTTATCTAAAGTAACTTCTTACGATTGTTAAAAAAGGAAACAAATATTCTTTATTAAACAAAGTTTGCAAGTTTTAGTTTTATTTAAGCTAAATTATTTTATAAATAAAAAAGTTAATTTTTTTAATACCTATTTTATGTTTTGCGTAGTATGAAAAGTTTAACATATTTGAAGCAATTCTTCTTAGCAAGATAAACAAATGAAATAATTAAATCATTGAATTACTATAGAAATTAAATTAGCAAGATAGAAATCAGCTAAAAAGGTTAAAAATATGACGAGGAAGCGAAACTGCTTCACAATATCGCTGATGTTTAGTGAGTGGGCTTATTTAATTAGTAATTAAAGCAGAAAAAAGTGTAACGAGTTTTTAAGAATGGCAACTGAAGCGAAATTAATTAGAGTTAGTAAACCAATATCTAGAAACTTTTTTTTATATCTAATTATTTGCTATATATAATTGTGTTCTGTCAGGACCTCAGGCGCGGTGCTAGTTCATCCTCGAGTTACTTTGTATGCGTTGTTTGTGTTTAGTAACCAGAAACTTCTTATATGTTTGTTACATGATTAGTTTTATTAACTTTAAAGATTATAACTATTGAAAACGCAATTATTTTTGTAAGTCTTTGTTTAAATCATAAAAATTGCTTTAAAAAATACATTTCGATAAAAAACAGATCAACAAAATTACATTTACATAGAGAATACATACTTTTTAAATAAAAAATAAGAATGTACTAATAAAATCTATAATTTATAATAAACTTTTAAAATTTTGACAACTTAATAAATATATTTTAAAACATTTATTATTTAATAAATATATTTTAAAACATTTATGTAAACAATTAATATATATTTTTAAAACGATTTATGCTAGAAATCTGAAAACGAAACAAATCGTGAATAATATTATTTCTAAAACAATTCAACAGAATGCTCTAAAACTTTATTTCGCTTAGTCAGCATATTTTTTTGAACCAATAGAATTAGTTTGTTTGTTAATTTGGCGGGTTTTTAGTGTTCGCGAATATTCTTTTTATTCTTTCGCACCAAGATGTTTTTAGAACATTCAAGTTTTTTATGTTTCCATGTATGTCCGTAAAACAAAAATTTTTTGTTTCGTAAATAAACTTAAATGTTCTCAACATGACTAAAAAACCTTGCCAGTTTTTCGGATCTAAATATAATTTCCGTGGTCAGTATTCGAGAGCGATCGCTCCCGCTTTCCGATCAAGCCTATATATATATATATATATATATATATATATATATATATATATATATATATATATATATATATATATATATATATATATACCTGTATGCTGTTGTGTAACTTAAGTCAACTCTAGAAGAATCGCCAGAGGTGGCACAAATTATTGAGTGGAATAAAGAACTGAGTGCAGTAGGTGTAATCTTGTTCCTAACAGCTGTTTTAATAACTTTAGGCAATTTCAGATTATTATGTGGTATAAACACGGTTTGCCAGTTTTGATGCTTCTTTTGTGAGAATGCTGCTTAGTTTCATAAACACATCCATGTTCATCATGATCAAGACAACCTTTATCTATCTCCATTAAATTGTTTACAGAACATCTCAAGATATTTGATTGCCTTTCTATTTCTTTATAGATTCTTTCTTGTTCAGCAAACTTTGTCATGAAATTTTTTTTCAACAAGGCTAAGTTTAAGATCAACTTACCCCATGGATGCTTTCCTATCAGTCATCATGCTGATCAGAAACTGTTAATCTTCTGCATTAACCAATTTATCTAGCACATCTCGTGACCAGAACCTCATTGTTTTTTTTAGCTTGACTTTAAATCCAATAATTTTTTGGGTATTCTTGTCAGTGTTTTTATGGGCATGATTAATTTTTAACAGACTTTTTAACTCCTCAAATAATGTCATGATTTCTTCTGCCATTTTATTTGACTTTTTTTTATTTTTGCCCAATTATAAAATAGTAGAACTGGTTTAACTGTTTTATTTACAGCACCTCTTTTAAATTTTGTGGTGAAATGTGCAAGAAAACACAACGAGCAGTTGGTAGCCTAGATCTTTGTATATTCTTATCAGATTTAATAGGGATGGTTTCAAGTAAAAAATATCTTTGGTCTTTAAATTTAGCCATTTTTACCCACCTAATTTGTCAACATTTTTATTTTTATTTATCTAAAGTTTAAAATAATTTATTAAAGTATCTGTAAAATAACAACAAACAACAACACAAACAACAAACAACAACACAAACAACAAACAACAACACAAACAACAACACAAACAACAAACAACAACACAAACAACAAACAACAACACAAACAACAAACAACAACACAAACAACAAACAACAACACAAATGAAAAATAAAATAAAATTTTGGATAAAACTGTTGAACTGCATTTTTTATTAAATTAAACATATTTTAAGATTTTTTGTAATAATATTATAAGGTACATTTATTAATATAATATTCTTATTAACATTCCATTAGTTTAATGCTGATAATTTTAAGTTTTTCCTCCTGATTATCAACAAATTTTGAAAAATTGTGAGAATCTTGAAATTTCAATTGAAGTTTGCTACCACTAAATGTTGTCCTTTTTTTTAAATTTCAGATTTTTACTATTTGTAATGAACCTCACCCACAAAAAAAAGTCAGGCTCAATCAGAGAACATAAGGGATTCATTTATATAAATATCAAGATAAGAAAGAAATTAATTTATATTAAATGATAATAAAAAAATGAAATTTAATTATTTAAAACTTAAAAAATTTGTTTTTCTTAATTAGTAAACTAAACTTGTTTTGCGGTAATTTATTTTATTTCGGTAGTTTAAAAAAGTTAAAATCCTGAAATATAAATGCATTTTGTGTATTGAGTACCAGGGGGTTAAAAGAGTACAAAAATGGGAAATGTTTAGAAGTGCTACAACACTTTTGGTATTGTTGTAGTAATACAACAATACCAAAAGTGTTTTTGAAACCAGTAAGTGATTAACATACTTTTAACTTACACGCCGAAGAGCGCCAAAAAAAATGTCTTCTAACTCTTCTCTGTGGAGAAAATTGTATTAATCTAAATTTTAACATTAATCATGGATAATATATTGATGTGTTATTTATAATTCAATTTTAACTGCATTATGTAACTATTTTTTTAGATTTTTTTTTCCAAAAATGTATTTGACCTAGGATTTTGGGTCTAAATGAGGCCATTTACAAAAACTCTTGGAAAACAGGTCAGATATATTTCTTTAATTACAACACAAATTTAAAAAATGACAACTATATTTCAACAGCATATTTTTTTACAGGTTCAAAGTGAAAACATTCTAATTTGCATACAGTGAAATCGCACAATCCTTAATTAGATGTTATTTTTGTTTAAAATGTTGCTTACATATAGGTGTGTGTCAATAGTCTTTTTTTAAACTCCAAAAAAAAATAATAACAATAAATTAGGTTATTTACATTTTTTATTATTTACATTTTTTACAACAACAAAAAAAACAGTTTTAAGTCTACATTAAAAATAATGATTTTCCTATATATTATTTGTGTTTTTTTAAAGAGAAAAGCAAAAATATAAATTGCAATGTATTTGTAAAATATATTTGTATAATTTTAATGTAACAAGTATATATTTTCCCTATATGAAAATATAGGGAAAATATATACTATAGAACTTTTTGTGTTATATTATTACATTTATTTATGTGTATCTAAACACATGTTTAGCTTATTTCGATAAGGCGTTAAATTCATAATTTTTTTTTGTTTTTTTAAATACAAACAGAGCCAAATGTTAAAAAGAAACGTGTCTCCACTAAAAATTTGGGGATAAATAATGTACAGGAAATGCAAGGTAATTTGAAACAATTAAAGCTATGTGTAGACAGCATGGCCTATTTGAAGCTTCAAAACTATGTAGGTTTTTAAGCTTCAAATAGGTAAACTTAGAAAATACACTGAAAGGCTTAAATGGTATAAGAAATCTGAATGTGATGAGATGTGTATCATTCAAAACATACAAAAAAAAAATTTTTATATACAAATAAAAAAAGATAAATGGTTACAAAGCAAACATATGACCAGCGGTACTTAAAAAAGAAATTGGGCAGTTTTAGGAATTGGAACCACGGACATTCCTCTATGTCTATGAAGTTATCACCTTATCCTTATTTTATAGTCTATGAAGCCTTATCTTATAGTCTATGAAGTTAACGCCTTATCCAAATAAGCTAAACCTGGGCATACTTATAAACAAATATAAATAATTATATAATACAAAAAGATTATTCATAAAAGCATTTTATATTTTCGTTTTTTAAAAAAAAAATAATAAAATATAGGAAAATCATTATTTTTAATGTCAACTTAAAACTATTTTCTTTTTTTTTTTTTTTTTTTTTTGCTTTGATTTATGGAAGTTTGTTGCTGAAAACCTCTTTAAATAAACAAAAATAAATAGAGTACAAAAATTATTGAAATTATTATTTATTTATTTTTAATTTAAGTTTATTTTAATTTCCTATTTTATTAGTTTTGCTTTATTTATTTTTGAAACTTTTTTCAGCAATACTTTATACAATAAAACTTGCAGTGACCAAATTGTCTAAAATAAAATACTCATGCGTGGACATACAAGATAAAAAACTGCACACGTTTCCTGGGAAGGCTTTCTCCATTATTTAAAGGAAAATAAATAAATAATAAGTTTTCCATAGAGAATTTATTATTTATTTTTCTTAAAAATCCTAAAAAATTAGATTTTTAGCTAAAATAGTCAAAATAAATAACAATTAATATACGCGTAAAAATAAGAAAAAATTAGTGTCGTACACGTACAAATAATGCCTAATGAAGAAGCCATTGCAGTGTTGGATAGGTATTGCTCATAAACTGGAATCATTTTAGGGTTATTCCATGTCAAATTAGCAGAAAAACCAAAATATCACCCCATGTTTTGGATTTCGCTAACTTTTATATATCATCATAGATCATCCTGGTTACATTTTAAAAATCCGGAAAACTGTTTAAGTAAAATATCCAGAAAAATCTGGTATATATTTTCCCCTTTAATTTTGCTTTTAGCTGATTTGTTTTCATTTATTTTCTCAAACTTTTCTTAATTTTTGTATAAGTGATGAGTGAAAAAGCTTGGAAAACAAATATATAACAAAAATATATACAAGAACTTGTATATATGGAATACGTTTTGGATATCCGAAAAGACTAAAAATTAAAAGGATATCCGGAATTCCAGAAATATCAGGAAAAAGATAATCCCTGATATATGTTATAAGGTTTATGAAAACTAAGAAAATCTGAAAGCTAAAACTTTCAACTCCATATGGTTCTTGAGATATTTAAACTTTAATTTTCTTATATATGCTGACTCTTTTGTCATTAAATAGCGATATTTAATGAACAAAATGAGGTATTGACCTGAAGTTTGGCACATAGACAATCTATCACATTGCAGATCTAAATACCAAATTAAGTTTTAGAATACATACAATTACATATAAACTGAATATTAAAGGAATATATTTAAGGGTATTTTGACAGTCAAAATATTAATGTTGCTTTAACAAAAAAATTTTGAACCTTTTACAACTTAAAATATTGGTATCAATCATCACTTTAAAAGCATTTTAAATCAAATGAAAAACAATCTAGCACAATTTGCCATTTGCTTTAAACAATATATATGGCTTATAAGGAACTAAAAGAATATTATTTAGATAACTCAATATCCAAGTACAAGATAACTCCAGCTATTATGATAATATGTTTGTTTTTTTCTTAAAGTTTTTTCCCTAATTCAATTAGTAAAGACTAGGAATAAAGCATCATTTTGTGAGTTTCAAAATCAGAGTCCTTTTTGGAAAATGCTAAAATATATAGCAAGTACTTTTAAAAATCTGCTTGTATAAAGTAATACAAAGTATGCTAGTAAGTTTTATGGCTGTTGTTTCTAAAAAAAAAATTTAAATAAAGTTAAAAATAAGTAAAACTGTATTTAAATATTTTTAGTATATTTAGATATATTTAAATTAAAATAAGGAAAATATAAAAACTATTTTTATATTTTTTTGATTATGGTTGTGGTTTCTTCCTTCAATAGGGAAAATCATGCATTCATGGCTTGAGTTGTAGTTACAATAAAAAATAAAATTGAATGCTAGTATTGTTGCACATTCTTTTACAATTTTACAAATAATTGGGTAGGTCCCTGATCATGAACAATTGGAAATTGTCTGTATAACAGGGTAAATAATAGCCTTCTAACATAGTGATTATTTAATACTTTTTTGGATGTGTTCCTAACTCTACTCTTTTTACTACAACTGTATCTAAGATTAAAAAAACTAAAGTTTTTTTAAACAAAATTTATAATATATGTGAGTATAAAATATACAGAGTGTTTTTCATTAAAATTAAAAAAAAGAACTTCTTTTTAATATACTACCTGCTTTATTTAAACAATTTTACAAAAAACATTGTGATCAAAAATGCTTTTCCAATGATGTTTTGTTACTAATGTTATATTACAAATATTAGCTTATCGACTTTATGTTACAATATTTTGTTACAGATTTTATGTCACCAATGTTAATTGTTCAATGGTTATGTAAAATAGTACTATAAAAAATAGTAATATTTTTCATATTATTTTTAACTTACCCTATTTTTAACAAAGATATAAATTTAAAAACTTGGTTATTATAATATAATATACAGGGGAAAAAATCCAAATAAAACATGCAAAAATATTATAAAACAGTGAATATTACATTGTTTGTTACAAATCAAAATCAGAAAATAATTCTAGTACATTAACTTTTAATAAGATAAACTTATATTAAAACATTAAAATTTACCTTATCTGTGATAACATTAACAATTTGAGTTAATGTATTTTCAGTGTTACAGAAGTAAAATAGATGTTCTGTTAAGTTTTCAAGAATATCTTCAAAAAAAGATGGATCATGAATTAAATCATTAATTATTTTTTGTAATAAGTCAATTGTGACTTGACTATCGTCATGAGTTTCTGGAAAAATATCTCCATTTGATTGATCGTTTGTTGTTTCCGAGTATGTAAATGTAAAAATTGGCTTGGTTGAACAGGCACTAGGAACAAATTCTGGAACTGAAACAGCTTTCATTAATATTGAAATTGTATTATCTGAGCTAGGATTTTTATTCAATATATTTTCTTCTACTGGAGAAATTATTGGCTTAAATTCATTATGATTTTCAACTTCGGTATAAATAAGGTCATTATAGTCATTTTCATTTTCTTCATTAAACTCATTTTCAATCAACTTTTTACATAGGTTATCAACATTGTTAATAGTGGTATTGGCTTCAATAACTATATTATCAATTTCTCTATCATCAGAAACTTTACTACCAATTTCTTTATCCTCGGTATCTTTGATTTGAGCAACTAAAATCGAAAGTTTATTTATATTTTTTTAATATAAAATTTCATTTTGATTAAAATTATAAACATAAAAATGACTATTTTAATGACATTTATACAAATTATAATAGTAAAATAAATAAGTTTACAAATAAAGCTTTACTTATTTCTTCTGGTTTTATAAGACATTGTGGCGGTTTGAAAGTTGTAATATTGCTTCTGTTTAATCCTCTTCCTCTACCTACAACTTTTCTATCATCAGTCATTATCACAAATATATTTTATACATTAAACGTTTGTAATTTAATATATTGCTAAATTTTTGTTTATTTAAACTCACCCAACATATATACAGGTATCGAAAGTGCTTTTTAAAAATTGTTTCTAAAATTGCAAAAGAAATTGGGAAAGTAGCGGAAACCTTTGATTTGATAATTGAAAGATAATGATGACAAATGATAATTATTGACTTTAAATAGTTGTTTCAACAAGGTTCTCCAATTTAACACATGTGGCCGAGCGCATAAAATAACTAATGATTAAAAAGTGGATATAATTAATTATATTCACTCTTTTATTATTAGTTATTTTGAGCTTTCGGCGCACCTATTCGCACTTAGGTCTTTTTTTTTTTGTTAATTTAAATGAAAAACACTCTATATATTTTGTACTCAAATATCGTCGCTGCAAAGCAAAACTTAAGTCCATTTTTGGCAAAATTGACTTGTTTTGGTTTAAAATACTCCTTAGGTGCGCAAAAGACATCTATTTTTTTTTTTTTTTTAATTTTATTTAGGTGCCCCAAGAAGTCCTTACGGTCTAATCACAGAGCACCGCGAATGAGCATTTAATTTGAAGTTCACGTCTCCTTCCTAACCGATGTCGCAAAACTTACCCAGAGGTGGGGTTTGAACCACGGATCCTTTGTTTCTGAGGTAACACTGCGCTACGACTGCATCTTACAGCCGTCTCACAAAGTAAGGAACCAAATCAAATCAAATCAAATCAAATATATTTCGAAATAAGTTATAACATTTTAAGGAAATTTACAATAGTACAAGTACTAATATAAAGTAAATTCCTCAATATACAACGTAACGTTATAGTCAATGATGAAAGTAATAATAATAACTGTTATTAATAATACTAATAATAATAATAATAATAATAGCAATAATAATAATAATAATAATAATAACAATAAAGTTTAAAAATGGCAGATAGAAAACCAGAGGAATTAGATGTAGATAGATAAGTAGAGAATTTCAAAATGTTATGAATATCAAATTAAAAACTGAAGGATTACGAATTGACATATATAGTAAATAAAGTCAATATTAGTTGGTAGAAATATTTAATTGTATTTTTTTAACAGATAATTAAAAAGCTTGATTTTGAATTCAGAGATTGAATTAAGAGATTTTAGGTCAGGAGGTAGTTTGTTCCATGAGCTAATACATTGATATTTAATGGATTTATTTCCACATTTAGCAGATTGGTATTTCGGAATAACTAAGTTTAAGCTACTGATGGAGCGAAGAGGGTAGTGACAATTTGTACTTGAAAAGAAATTGTTGAATGATAAGGGAAGGTTTTTGTGATGATAATTCCAGACAAATAGGCAGTTGAGGAATACCACAAGGTCGCTTATTTTTAATATTTTGGAGATTAAGTATAGTACGTTAGATTTAGAGTTATTATACTGAAAATATATTATTTTCAAGGTCAAAAATGATTCAACTTTTGTAACTATGAGTAAAATTCAAACATCCTATGTCCTGAAAAAAAAATCGTTGCTTCAAAACAAGACTATCCTAAGTCCATTTTTTACCAAAAAAAAAAAATATTTTGGTTTAAAATAATTAATACATATAATAAATAACTGAAACAAGTAGATTTAATCAAAAAAAATCAAAAGCAGTGATTAAATTGAAAACTTTAAACGTCTTTTTCTCAAAACAGTAAAAATGGACTTAAGATATATAATAAATGTCGTTGTTGCTGTCTATTTAAAAAATAATTTAAGACTGTACAGTTATTAAAATTAATTTTTAGCTGAAAAATAATATTAGTTAAATTTTTCTAATAAACTTTGTAAAGATAAAAATGTAGATTTGTTATTTCATGTTTTTGAAGTAAATTTTTCTGAACGTAACGGAACTATTGTTTTTAGACTAAGTATTTTTTTCAGAATAGTATCTTACCATCTGTTATGTCACTTCATTATGTTTTATTATTCATTGTGTATATGTTCCAATGTTTATATAAACCTCTCTACCCCCCCCCTCTTTTTTTTTTTCTTTTTTTGTTTTATTTTGTTTTTATAAATACCTGGAGGTTTCCGTTTGTTATGTTTTTATATATACCTGGGGGTTTTCATTGACGAGAACATCACATGGAAACATCATATTAACTATGTCTGCTCGAAAGTATAAAAAAGTATCGGAATTTCATATAAAACGCGTACTCATTTAGATAAAAAATAATTTAACTAAACTTTATTACTCTTTTATTCATAGTTATATACGTTATGAAGTTATTGCCTAGGGTAGCATTGATCAAAGCAAGTTACAATATCTCTATCGCCATCAGGAACATCCGATCCGTTTAATTAATTCTGTGGATCGGTTTGCACATTCCTCAATATTTTTTAATCAAATAAAAATCCTCGATATATACAAGCTAAACGTATATAAAAGTTTATCTTTTGTTTGTGGAAGTATGATTTATCTTAATTTTTAAAGACCTTTACGTTTTAAAACAATTAAGCAAGTTTAACACGAGGAATAATAATTATTTAAATGAACCTGAACTCTGTCGAACAAAATTCAATCAATTTTGTATCACTTATCGTGCGGCTCATCCTGAAACAAAATTATTTTTCCTAAATTCGACTTACCCCTAACTTATACTGTTTTTAAAAATAAATTAAAAGATCTCATTCTCTCTATTGAAAATATCTTAGAATATTTTTAATTTATCTTATGATAAAAAATAATTTTTATTGTCTTGTATGTTCAAGTTTTGTTTTATACTTGTTTACAATTTATTTTCATTTATCAAAGTACGATTTATTGTATATATGTTACTTTTTACGTACTCTTATTGTAAAAAGGCTTTTTTTATGATATTTTACGTAGTCTCTTTTGTAAAAGGCTTCTAACAATAAGATCATTGTAATCTTCTTTTAGAAGCCTTGTTTGTATTTGAAAAATATTTTATTTATATATATTATATAAAACAGTAACGAAAACTGGTGTAAGCGCGAATTGGCATAAGTGTACCAATTTTGGAAACACTGACAATTTTTACTCTTTTTTTTTTTACAAAATTTTTACAAAGTGTTTAAACCCATAAATTTCCTTATAAACATGTTTTTTTCACTCAAATTTTTAACGTTTTCCACTCTAAGTAAAAATAAGCGAAAAAAATTATATAATGACAGCTGCAGCTCTTTTTTTTCTCTCTTTCTTTGAGGAATAAATGTCTATTTATCTGTCTGTTTAAATGTCTTTGAAATAGTTTAAATAGTTCAAGCAAAGTCCTCACTTAAAAATAGTTCAAGCATCGAGCAAAGTCCTCACTTAAAAAATGCATTCGAGAACTTGAAATTACACAGGTCTCAAAATTAAAATTAATGTTAGGATTCCATAATATACCGCAATTATATTACAATTACTTTGCGAAAAAAAATTTGCAAACAGTATATATGCGAATCCTTATGCCGGATTTACACTTATGTCAATGTTTGCAAAAATCATATGGCGCACTTATGCCATTTTTTGAGAGTTCTTTTGGCGCGCAAAGCGAATTCTTATGCCGAAAATAGTTGTATTACTAATTTACCTTAACTATATTAAAATATTAGAATTGGACTAAAGGGTTTGTGGGACTAAAGGGTTTGTGGGATCATAATTTATAACAAGATCAGCTAACTTATTTCAATCAAAAACTTATGCTATTAATGAAACTATTTTTTTAATCTATTTATTTAACCACAAAAATGTACAATCACTCATACATTTATAAACTAGTCAATGAAGTGAAAAATACATTAAATAAAAATAAAAATTTAAACATATATATAAATTAAAGTGCAGCGCGCTCGACGTTTCTTCCTTTTAAACGTTTTCTATCGATTAGAGGATCTGGGCTATTGGTGCGCCACTACAAAAAATTAATTACTTGTACTAGAACCTCTTCCACAGAGCTCTGCGATATGACTTGATATGCTCTGCGATAAGACTTGATATGCTCCGCGATTAGACTAACTGCGTTAGGACTTCTGAGTCTTAATAATAACTACACAACCTTAATAACTAAAAAATACGTATAATAAAAATACCTTTTATAATATAACTGGAGAAAGATGTTTTTATTCTTGTAATATTTAATGCTTTATTTCAAAGTTTATGTTTTATACGTATTAACTGTTATTGCTGTTTAATTATATTTAAATTAGTATTAATCCTTTTGTAATTTTATTATTATTACTATTATGTAATATCTATTATTTATTATATTATATTAATATGAATTATTATTTCATCGATTATATAGTCGTATATGATTGACTCATATAGCGTAAAGGACGCTTACATATAACATACATACATACATACATACATACATACATACATACATACATACATACATACATACATACATACATACATACATACATACATACAGGACCGGCAAGAGTAGGTGTCACGTGGGGGGGGGGGTGCTATTACAACTTTTACCGACTATATAAAAATAAAGGTCCTCGTTTTTTTAAATTTGCCAACTGCCTTAACGATATTTGCCAATTGCCTTGTCGAAAGGGTATACATTTGCCAACTAACTAGTCAAAAAGGGTCAAATTTGCCGACTAAATGAACGAAAAAATCATTGATGATGGGGGTGTCACACCCCCTCCCCCCATATCGCGCTGGCCTAGCATACATACATTCATAGCAATTGATATTCTCAGTAATTTATAAATATTATTAAATCAGAAATTATTTTAATAAGAAGATATTGAGTTAAACCTTGAAGTATCACGTAGGATTTTAAGTTGTTTTAACAAACTTTAAGTGGATTTTAAGAGATTTTAGCAGTTCTAAGAGTTTTTTTTTAGACTGATATTTATATACATATAATAGAAATGATTTTTCATTCAGAAATAAATGAAATTGTGCTGCTAAACCCAGACCTTTACATTTGTAAAATTTTTCTATTAATTTTTTTCGGCTTACTCAAACAAGTGTTTTTTTTTTTTTTTTGTATTTAAGATGCGTTTAAGATTTAAATTCTATATTCAATAAAAAGTCTCCTGCGTTTAAAAATGAATAAAACTGATTTGACTTTTAGAGATAAGTAAATATAGAACAAAAGGAGATTATGAGATTACTAAATGATTATAGAGTTTTTGAAATTACCAGTGCCGTTGCAAAAATGTGACGAGCGAAACCACTGTCTTGAGAAAGTCTAAAAGTGCGCTTTTTTTTTAATCCGCTCAATACTAGACAAGTAGAAAACAATAATTATAAAAAAAAAATAGCTTATTTTAAATAGTCTTCAGCAGTGTTAATTAACTTTCTTACTTTGAATTAATGTCATTTA